CTCCACAATAAGTACAATAGTATTTGTAATGCTGACTGGTTATACACACAATATTATCACTGTACCTATATATATATCCTGCAGGTAGTTCTGATTTTATCTCTTTGTAATGATAATCATTAATCTTCATGAACCTCAAGGTCATGATGAAATTAATTTACTGATTTGTTCAAATAATTCAGGGATCTCAATGTCCTAGATTTTACTCCTGATAAGGTAAGATGTAAGATATAGAGGAAATCAATGAGGAACAATCAGTCAGTTTGTAGACCCTTCACACCAATAAACTTCAGGGTTAACAACAGGTAGAATTAGTCGATCACAGCCTCACAGTGACATATCTATAATGCCCCATACGCATATATCCTTCCACTAAATGATATTCTCAACTAGAATATTTTTATTTACAATAATGAAATCTGGAGTTTTTATCTGTTAATATGTATTTATTTATAAAGAATCAGATTCTGGTAGGTTCACAAGACTAATATAGTGTTGGCTTGAGTGATTTTATAAAACAATTATTGGTGACTTGGCCACTGTGTTGGCTCGAGGACTTCACCAAAACAATGGTGACTTGGCCACTGTGTTGGCTCGATTGACTTCAGCAAAACAATGGTGACTAGACCACTGTGCTGGCTCAAGGACTTCACCAAAACAATTGGTGACTTGGCCACTGTGTTGGCACAAGTGACTTCAGGAAAACAATGGTGACTAGGCCACTGTGTTGGCCTGAGTGACCTTACCAGAACAATGGTTACTTGGCCACTGTGGGTAACCTCACTAGAACAGCAATGACTGGACCACTGTGTTGACTTCAGTAAGTTCACTATTGAACTATCAGTCCACATGTACATTCCTATATAGATCTCTACAAAAACACTCATTTTTGTATAAGAATCAATGCACAAGTGGGATAACAAATGGCAGTTCCTGCATAATTAATGGTACCATTTCCTAAGGGAAAACAGCTTGTGTGCGACTCACTGTCATAAGGAGAGAAAAAAAATGACTCATTCATACTAAATGAAGTGTTCTGTTAGTAGTACTAGATAAATCAAGATTTTACTCAATTCTCTGTTGGATATGTACTTATAAGCCAAACCACATGTGTGAGTGAAGAATTTTCATTATTGATAATGGGTCAAATTCCCTTCTAACATTATATGGTAAGATTTTTCTCTCTTTTATAGACATTTCCCCAAAGTCAAATGGAAACATGTTCATGAATATACAATTTTATCATTAACAATCATGTTTAAATAAGAAACGAATATCAATGTTATTTTAAGAATATAACATGATCTTGTTTTAGTATTGGTAAAAGCTACCATGTTAATACTTCAACACACTGATAGTTTAAAATTTTTTGAGGAAGTGCAATTATTTTAAAATTAGTCGAAGTATTCCTTCCATGCTTATCATCAATAATCTAACAATGTCTTAAAATAACCCCTCCTCCCCCACTTGTAATAATAAGACATCATGTTTCTGTGATATGAGTGAGGTACACCACAAGTATTCTAATCACTACTACACATTATGTACCTTGCTAACATTTTGTCACTGACAATATCATACATGTTGACAGGAAGAGCTCCTATGTTTGTTTACAACTTATGTCTCTACATAAATGACTTTGTTTTTGATTATCTGTATCACAGTGCATCAACTCTGTATCAAAGTGTAAGAGAGAAAGTCATATCAGTATTCATCCTGTCATACTTTCTTCTAATTTTTTATCTACTTTCCTGAGAGCAAAATTTGAAATTCTGGAAATTTTATTGTTTGATCAGTTTCAAGATACACTTAGAGAAATTCAACTGTTTTTCTCAATAGTTTAAAATACAAATATAAGTAGTAAGATATAAGGTTATGACAAATAGTATTTTCTGTCAGTTCAGCTGTCGAACAGCAGCATTTCTTAATCTATTTGTACACCAACATCTTGTACTAATCTTGTATATATCAGATTCCGCAGCTCCCACTGACAAGTCTGATATCCAGCTGTGTGTCATAATTCACATAAACATCTCTTTATTTTCAGATACATAACACAATCTGAATTCCTTTTAGAATACGACTCACTGAAACAACAATGGCAACACACACCCTGTAATTCACTACCAAAAAACTGGTCCAACAGGTTAATGTTGCATATGATAAAGTGGGGGTTACATCTGTCCTAAGAATACTTAGCTGTTCAGTGGACCAACATAAACAACTTACCCTCCAGTTAACAACTGTGTCAAAAACGTACTTGGTCTGTATTCACAACTAGGGAAATTACAAAAAAAAAAAATCAAAAACAATAAATGGCATTAATTAAGTAAAACATCATGAATGATCAGCAGCACCAAACTGTTTCTGTCAAGCTTGGTGTCATCAGAATATGGTGCCAAAGATCGCACCAATTATTCTCACCCTTTTTCAGGCAGTAACTTTGCTTGTTTGGGTGTTCAGATACTTTATTTTTAAAATATCACATCCGGCCCAGGCATATCAAAAACTTCAACATTTTCCAAAATAAACCCAGCCTTTTGGCAGAAATACAAGATTTTTTTTATTTTGTTTAAATGCTCCACATTTATGAAAATGAAAAATCCTGTTGGTATCAGGAAATCACTAAAAAGTTCCAATATTTCATTAAAAACTTTTTACAGAGTAATATGCTAATATATGAAGATAATTAATGATGCAGTGTTCCATACATCAGTCTTTAATATTTAAATGTACATACAGCCAGCAAGTACATACATGTACTCATCAGCTTTATCAGAAACATTGCATACCTCAATTTGTGTGTAATTTTTTTTTTAATTATCTTCCATGCATCACAAGCTTATGGCAGGTGCTACTGGAAGCTCATTATTAAATATCATGTTGTGAAGATCCATATACTAAAATCAAGTGCCTTGGAAAGTATCCATTCCATTTCTACTTACTTCACCTTTCCAAGTACGCAAACACAGGATGATAAACCCCATGTAAATACTGCAGTTTCTTTATACTACTCAAATCCTTGACATTTTACAGGTATTAAACATTGTGTATGTAAATTACAAATTTTACAGACTTGCTTTTAAGTAAGTTTTAAACAATGTGTATATTTGAATTTCAAGTTTTACAGATTTTAGAAAGTTCAAAATACTATGTGTGGGAAACTACAAGTTTTACATCAGCACTGCATCATCAAATGTCAGTTGTGGTGAACCAGTATATCAGAGACCACCTATACTACTGATTACCACGTGCAGCCAAGCAGAAATACAATTTTAGTCCCTCATGTATACTGTGAGACTAGGAACTATAGAGAGTTGGTAAAAACATTTTCACACACTCTGAGACTAAGAACTACACATACGATTAGTAAATATAATTTCTGATACTGGGAACAATCACTTAGTGTGGATTTTGAACTACATGTATAACCAATTTCACACACTCTCTGAGACTTGGAATGATGTTCACCTTCAAGTTTATTATTATATACAATACCAGATTGGGAATAGTAGTTATCCAAATTAAGAACTCTTTTTAAATAAAGGTGATTTTAGACATGTCACTGGGGCAACATTAACTCTGTTACAATGAAGCAGACACGGTGGCAAATGTCAAACTACTGATTGTTGTTCTTTGATAAACTCATCACTGTCATATCTTCTCTGTATCATGTGTCCAATTTCGCTAGAAAAGTTACTATAAATAGAAAATTCAGGTGATCTTTCCTCGTTAACATTACAACAATAATAAACATAACAATAAAGAACAAATGTGTTGAAATTTGTTGCCTTCATTTTCACAAGCATTGAGGTACTCTTCCAGAATGAGAACATGTGTAGATGCTGAAATATCTTATTTAACCTGTTTCAGACACAGGCACATATTCCACTGTAAGACCTATGCTGTTTGCCCCCAAAATCCTGCAGTAAAGTGATGAGGGTGGACTCTTTTTAGCCCTACCCACAAGATCCAAGGAAAGCAGCTCATCTGTAATCATGATAACCCCTATTGCATACAATTAGGACTGCTAGAAATACCCAGACACAGTTTGCATTGAAAGGGTAACTGGGTTTGAAAAAGTGTATCCATGTACCCATAAAAAAATTGAAACAATACATATTTCATTTTGTCGCAAGTAAAACCTGATGGAATATAACATTCCACTCATTTGTTCTGATTTCTCACACCAAAGATGACAATTTATCTGTTTACAACAACAGGCAACATCGTCATGCTCATGCATGTATTTCTCAGGACTGTATTTCATTGCCAATACAGACACATGCATACAGGATCAAAATTCTAAACCTTTAACAACCTTAGATATTACTAATCTTTACAATTTTATATAGTCTCAGCTTGGGAACAAATTTTCATACAGTTTCTAACAATCTGTGACAGGGCAATACATACAACTAAAAAATTCGACAGATAATTAATTACATAAAATTTCATGGGTCTGGGAATTACATACAATATCATAATTTGAGGTTGTATCATTAAACAATTTCATCAGCACTAAGATGGGAGTAGTAAATTACTTCTACTTCTAGCCAGGAAACACAAGTAATTTCATACACTTGAATTTGCAACTGAATTCACTGGTTACATTGCCATCTACACATTTCCTTTCAGACTTACACAAAACCACATAATTTACATGTACTGTATGTGTGAATTCTTGTTTTCATTTATAGGTGCTATACAGCTAAATCTGATAAAAGAACAGTATAATCTCAGCACAAGTGTTGCAAGTTTTAGTGTTATCTATAACATTTGGATATATCTTGATAGTTTTGGGTAAATTTTGAGTAGTGTTGGGTAAGTTTAGGATATTTCATATATATCAATGTTTCATATCAAGGTTCTCTGTCTGAAAATAAAGGCTTGGCACAGTAACAGCCAGTTTTGGTTGGTGCAAACTGCTGATAAGGCATGTAAATAGTTTAGTAATTACAGGGGTATACAGTCTTCAATTCCTTTTACAGTATACTCACCTTTCAGACTGGCCTGCAAAGTTGCCACCATCCAGCAGTCGAATCTTTGCAAATAATATTCCACTAACATAAGGCACAGATGACAATTCCTCAATGCAAAAGTTTACATGGAACTTGAAACGCTTCTTTTTCATCATAAACGACATCATTTTTGAGATAATTTAACTAAATGTAAAGAAATCACACAACATTTTACAGATGAATAGGCCTAGTCGATCACTTTTCGTGATTGTTAACAACAGAAAAAGTCCACATGCAACAGACCCGGGGATTACCCGAACCTGAAAGTGAGTGATTTTACATGTCGAAAGAACAGCATTACAAATATCCCACGTCAAAGTTTTTCAAGTGCCATTCTGGTTGTCAAATATTCAATAAACGTAGCGACACTGGATGTAAGTCACATTCTGTAGCTCCACAAGGGGATATCCCCTTCCAGCTCTGTTGAAAAAGTTAGTCACCAGGTCTAACATTCTTCAATTTTGCATTCATGATATTTCGTGGGTGTTTTTCTTTCAAAGGTGTTTGCATTCATTCTGAAAATCTGCCAATACACACGATACACCCACACGCATGCGCATAAAGGATTATGTGCTGATTTCCGCTGTTTTTAGCCTTACAAGTTCAGTCGTAATCCATTGTAAACTAAGCGAGTAGTGTGAATCGTCGTAGGTACCGAAATCGCTCAAAGCGTGTGTGCAAGTCTGCCATGTACTGTCATGTTATGGTGTGAAGTAACCAACAAAACAGTTTTGTAAAGAACTCGAAGCATAGACCGGTTTTCTTTCAAAGAGGTGATAGACAAAGTAAGGCAAATTATAGTTCGAATGATGTATGCTTTTGGCAATACTGGTGGCATCTGAGCAGACACAGGGTTTTGAGTTTGTGATGTGTGGAGAAGGAAGGGAATCCCTTTTGGGATTCATTCATATCTCAGATATTTGTTAGTGTCCCGCGTCGTTTGACAATGACGTTGTAAAAAGTCCGATATAGATAAGTTTCCAGGATGTACCCCAAAAGAGATAAGGAGGGCTGTGTGTTAAACCTTAGTGGACTAGGTAACCTGCATATAATACAGTCTTCAGACGTTTTAAGGGATAGTTCAGATAGCATGCTGCAATAGGTCAATGTCATACTTCGGAACTAGCAACCTGACAGAAAACTAGATAATAAATTAGTCATCAAAGAGCTTCTACTTCGACCAACTGGTTGAAGGTTTTACCTTCATGGTTTATTGAAATATTTAAAGAGGGGATTACTGATCTGAAAGAAGATATGTTTTCTACAAATCAAATTTCAGGCAAAAGCTTATGCCAATCATTGATTGTTCAGGGACACAGACATTCTGCAAGAGATAGTTTGGAAAAAATTTGATGACAGTGTCTCGAATATCTTATAGTTGGAATTAGATGTTAAGGGTAGATGGCAACATTGCTTTGTCTTATTTTATAAAGCATGGTCAGCTGCACATCCTTACTGTGATCGGCAGACGCCGCCATTTAAAATGGTCTAATATTACCAACACTTGGGGAGTTATGATGTCAAATGGTAATAAAATGGGCAGCCTAGCGCTGAACCTTCCCTATCTTGTAGTGTCTATTTTCAGATATGTGTCCCTGATAGAAGGATGACAGGTCAATTTTCATATATTCCGTTTGCTTTTGTGTATAAATGCATTTTATATGGTTTTTGTCTGATTTTCTTGGGGACATGACAAAGCTCAAGGAATATAGCATCACAACATGATATGCTTGGGATAGGCTGGGGTCTTTGCATTTGATTTGGGGTGTTGGTGATGATTAGGTGTAGATTAAGCATATTTGGCAGAATGCAATTCAAAAGAAACTTAAGCTGATGGACGCTGGCAGATAGGGAAATTAAAAAAAAATTGTTTTCTTGTAGAGCTCAAGCAAAACAGATTGGATATTCTATTTGTAAAATGTCCTTGGAATGCAGGTATTTAAGTTTTGAAATTGGGTCCCTTGCTTATTGAATGTGGTCACATCTAGGGGCCAAATTTAAGGTCAGCATTCGCTGTATAATGATTAAATATGAGCTACAGAAATCTCAAATACTACAAATGAGAAAACTTTTATATGTAAAGGAAATGATGCAGATTGATGTAAATTGATTGAATTCACACCCATGACCATGTTTATGAGTTTCAACATTTGCTATAATCTATGATCACAGATGAAAACAGTTCAGATTGGAATCATTCTTAAGAGACAAATACAGTTATCATATGCTTTTGGGACCAGCCTTAAGAGTACACCCCCACCTCTGGGAATTTCAACATGGTTCATGGGTCAATTATGATATGGAAAAACCTGTATTAAATTGATTTTTACATCTGTTTGGTCATTCCATACAGAAAGTCAGCATGAATTATGAAAAATAAGACTGTGAAGAAATGCATGACTAATTCTTGATTTAAATAACATTGTTTTCAGCCTGATGAAGTTTTACATTCACTCCAATGACCATGAGTTCACCATGGTGGTCAGATGTGAGGAGGGCTACCATGGAACTGTGGAGGACATTGCCAGGGTAAGTTGATTAAATGTAGCGAAGGACATCGTCAGGGTAAGGTCAGTGGTCATGTTGGAGGACATCGCCAGGGTAAGGTCAGTAGTCATATTGGAGGACATTGCCAGGGTAAGGACAGTGGTCATATTGGCGGACATTGGAGGTCATGCAAATAAATAGAAAACCTCAAGGTTATTGCTATTTGCAATTTCCAGTATTGAAGTCAGATGACTGTTAAGGCACATTGGCATTTTATATTAATTTCGTTTGTGATTTTCAGATGTTTATTAAAGAACTGAAGAAGAAACTACCAGCAGAAAGCCTAGATAGTGTTGGTTTAGAAGTGAAAAAAGGGTAAGTATACCAGACTTTTAACATGAAGAGTCAGAATCATAGTCTATTTTTTATGGACATTATCAGAAATGTCTTTCTCTACTACAATTATGACGACCATTATCAAGATTTCACCCTTCTTGATCTTACTTGCAACACATGTGTTACACAGTATTTTCCCCCAATAAATCTTTCATATCTATGGTATTTTATTTTGTATAGCCATGCTGATAAACAACATTTGTTTATATTACTGACAGTTATAAAATTTTAGACATGAAAGAGGAAGTGAGGAAAAAAGTTCAAGACAAAGAAGATCTGTTTCTTACTATACACAAAGGTGCCAAACCAAAATCTGGTAAATATATATTACCCAATAATATCAAATCTGGTAAATATACACCCATAATATCAAATCTAAAAAGTATATATCCCATAATATCAAGTTTAATCAATAGACTCCATATCATCAGATTTGATAGCTATTATCTTATAATATCAAGTCTGTTAAATATACCCTATGATATCAAATGTGATAGATTTAACCCATAGTGTTATATCTGTTAAGTATAGACAAAATCTAGTTAATATAACATAACTTATTTGAATAATGTAACTTAATACCTTATTATCAAATTTGGTTGTTACATATAGATTGTATCATTCTTGCTCATATCACATTAAACCTTGTAATTTTATGAAGAAAAATAAACATTACAAAATTTTCCTTTTCATTAAAAAAAACCACATTTTTAACCAATACAATTTAATGTACTAAGTCATTTGTCTTTATTGTTACTATGTTTTTAGACACGAAGAAAAGTGCTGATGTTAAAGAGCCTAAACCTTCTGAAAGTAAAGTTACTAAAGGTAATTATAATTGTCAAGCGCATGTCTGTACTTTAGGACTTTTGTATCCTCTCTGGAGCCGCTCTTAGAAATTTTGTAAGATTTTTCTTGAATTGTCTTTCAATCAACTTTACAGCTGAGGAACCTGTGTCTTCCAAGCCAGAAAGGAAACCCAATAGCAAGGCTGATGGGCTGATGCAGATAGCTGTTCAGTTTATATCAAAGGGCAACTTTCAACAAGCTGTCATGACACTAGAAGAAATCACCAGGATAGATCCAAGCAACATGGAAGCTCACTTAGGTCTTGGTAGGTAAAGCATTGATACACAGGTTTTAAGTCATAACATAGACACTTAACTGGATATCTCACATTTGATACAGAGGACAGGTGTAATACAGGCACTCACCTAGGTCTTGATAGTTGTATCCCCAGAGCTCACCATGATCTTTACAGTTGTAATGCAGAAGCTCATCTAGGTCTTGACAGTTGTACCACAGATGCTGACCAAGTTTTTGACAGTTGAAACACTGGAGCTCATCAAGGTCTAGACACGTACAATACAGTCACTGACCAAGGTCTTGCCAGTTGTATCCACAAAGCTCAGGTGGACAGGTAGAACACAAATGCTCACCTAGCTCTTGACAGATGGAACACAGATGCTCACCTAGCTCTTGACAGGTGGAACACAGATGCTCACCTAGCTGTTGACAGGTTGAACACATGCTCACATAGCTTTTGACAGGTAGAACACAAATGCTCACCTAGCTCTTGACAGGTGGAATACAGATACTCACCTAGGTCTTGACAGGTGGAACACAGATACTCACCTAGCTCTTGACAGGTGGAACACAGATACTCACCTAGGTCTTGACAGGTGGAACACAGATACTCACCTAGGTCTTGACAGGTGGAACACAGATGCTCACCTAGGTCTTGACAGGTAGAACACATATGCTCACCTAGCTGTTGACAGGTGGAACACAGATACTCACCTAGGTCTTGACAGGTAGAACACAAATGCTCACCTAGCTGTTGACAGGTTGAACACAGATGCTCATATAGCTCTTGACAGATGGAACACAGATGCTCACCTAGCTCTTGACAGGTGGAACACAGATGCTCACCTAGCTGTTGACAGGTTGAACACATGCTCACATAGCTTTTGACAGGTAGAACACAAATGCTCACCTAGCTCTTGACAGGTGGAATACAGATACTCACCTAGGTCTTGACAGGTGGAACACAGATACTCACCTAGCTCTTGACAGGTGGAACACAGATACTCACCTAGGTCTTGACAGGTGGAACACAGATACTCACCTAGGTCTTGACAGGTGGAACACAGATGCTCACCTAGGTCTTGACAGGTAGAACACATATGCTCACCTAGCTGTTGACAGGTGGAACACAGATACTCACCTAGGTCTTGACAGGTAGAACACAAATGCTCACCTAGCTCTTGACAGGTTGAACACAGATGCTCATATAGCTCTTGACAGATGGAACACTGATGCTCACCGAGCTCTTGACAGGTTGAACACAGATACTCACCTAGGTCTTGGAAGCTTTAGCATAGATGCTCATCTTGGCCATGATAGATATAACACAGTCCCTCATCTGGTTCTAGAGGGTGACATACATTTAAATTGCTATGAAAATTATTGGTGTTAATTGTTCCTCTCTTATTTTCAGTTGATATTTATCTGAAGGCAGAGCGACCCAAGAAGGCTTTGAAGTGGTGCAGAAAAACACGAGAACTCTACAACAGCAAGGAATTGGCACTAAGGTACATGCAGTATACTTGACACTTGGATATAAACAGCTATCTTCACTGGGATATAACCATATACATGACACTAGGATATAACCATATACCTGACACTGAGATATAACCATATACATGACACTAGGATATAACCATATACCTGACGCTGAGATATAATCATATACATGACACTGAGATATAACCATATACAGGACATTGAGATATAACCATATACATGACACTGAGATATAACTATATACATAACAATTAGATATAACCATATACCTGACACTGAGATGTAACCATATACCTGTCACTGAGATATAACCATATACCTGACACTGAGATATAACCATATACATGACACTGGGATATAACCATATACCTGACACTGAGATATAACCATATACCTAACACTGAGATAAAACCATATACATGACACTGAGATATAACCATATACCTGATACTTGGATATAACCATATACCTGACACTGAGATATAACCATATACATGATACTTGGATATAACCATATACCTGACACTGAGATATAACCATATACATGATACTTGGATATAACCATATACCTGACACTGAGATATAACCATATACATGATACTTGGATATAACCATATACCTGACACTGAGATATAACCATATACCTGATACTTGGATATAACCATATACATGACACTGAGATATAACCATATACCTGACACTGAGATAAAACCATATACCTGACACTGAGATATAACCATATACCTGACACTGAGATAAAACCATATACCTGACACTGAGATATAACCATATACCTGACACAGGGATATAACCATATACCTGACACTGAGATATAACCATATACATGACACTGAGATAAAACCATATACCTGACACTGGGATATAACCATATACATGACACTGAGATATAACCATATACACGACATTGAGATATAACCATATACATGACACTGAGATATAACTATATACATAACAATTAGATATAACCATATACCTGACACTGAAATATAACCATATACATGACACTGAGATATAACCATATACCTGTCACCTGCATATAACCATATACATGACACTGAGATATAACCATATACATGATACTTTGATGTAACCATATACCTGACACTGAGATATAACCATATACCTGATACTTGGATATAACCATATACCTGACACTGAGATATAACCATATACATGATACTTGGATATAACCATATACCTGACACTGAGATATAACCATATACATGATACTTGGATATAACCATATACCTGACACTGAGATATAACCATATACATGATACTTGGATATAACCATATACCTGACACTGAGATATAACCATATACCTGATACTTGGATATAACCATATACATGACACTGAGATATAACCATATACCTGACACTGAGATAAAACCATATACCTGACACTGAGATATAACCATATACCTGACACTGAGATAAAACCATATACCTGACACTGAGATATAACCATATACCTGACACAGGGATATAACCATATACCTGACACTGAGATATAACCATATACATGACACTGAGATAAAACCATATACCTGACACTGGGATATAACCATATTCATGACACTGAGATATAACCATATACATGACACTGAGATATAACCATATACACGACATTGAGATATAACCATATACATGACACTGAGATATAACTATATACATAACAATTAGATATAACCATATACCTGACACTGAAATATAACCATATACATGACACTGAGATATAACCATATACCTGTCACCTGCATATAACCATATACATGACACTGAGATATAACCATATACATGATACTTGGATATAACCATATACCTGACACTGAGATATAACCATATACCTGATACTTGGATATAACCATATACATGACACTGAGATATAACCATATACCTGACACTGAGATAAAACCATATACCTGACACTGAGATATAACCATATACATGATACTTGGATATAACCATATACCTGACACTGAGATATAACCATATACCTGATACTTGGATATAACCATATACATGACACTGAGATATAACCATATACCTGACACTGAGATAAAACCATATACCTGACACTGAGATATAACCATATACCTGATACTTGGATATAACCATATACCTGACACTGGGATATAACCATATACCTGACACTGGGATATAACCATATACCTTACACTGAGATATAACCATATACCTGACACTGAGATATAACCATATACCTGACACTGGGATATAACCATATACCTGACACTGGAATATAACCATAAACATGACACTGGAATATAACTGAATATCCAAGTGTTTATTATATCCATATACCTGAGATTGCGATGGGGCACTGATTGGTTTGGTAGATTCTGGTTTAAGACATGATGTTATTGACAAACATTGAGATCCATTCTTGTTGTAAATGTTGTGATTTGATTCAGTTGTTTGACCTTAGTTTACATTCTGGCATTTTGATGATAGTTACAAAATTATCAGTATAAAAACAATGGATATAAAACAGAAACTGGTGACAGAAGCTAGATGTGAGAATTTTGTATCAATGTTTAAAAAGAAAAGTTTGAAGATTGTCTGATCCCTCATGTTTCAGGGAAGCCCAGTGTTATTTGAACATGAAGAAGTCCGACAAGGCCATTGATCTTCTCTTGGCCTATTGTAAGGACATGAGAAAGTCTGGTGGAGGATCTCAAGCAAATAAATATGATGTACAGGTAAAGGTCATATGTCATAGGTGATAAGTTGCTGTGAGGATTTGGAGGTCCAAAGTCAATAAATATTATGTACAAGTGAGGTCACATGTTATAGGTTAGAAGTCATAGGTCACTGTAAGGAGATGAGAAAGTCAGATTGTGGGTCATGTGCAAGTAAACAGATAAGGTCACAGGTCATATGTCAAAGGCTACATGTCATGACCAAAGATTGACCACTACAATGTAATAGTAAATAAGACGAAGTGTTTCATGTTTTAATAGAAAGTGGCATAACATCAATGTATAGATGCCTATTCTCATTTGATGGGTGACGGTGATGTCTGAAAAAGAGTAAAAAAGAAAATTCATCAGAATAATCAGATTACAGTGAATGAGTATTTGAGTATTGACTAGCTATAGTATAAACATCATTTAAATTTTCTTTATGATCATTGTTATCAATCTTTAATTGTTTACATACTCAATTTACACCAGGTTTGTTCCATATTTTTATAATTCTTGAATGGTTCTATGGCATGGTCAAGTGATGATTGATATTAAAGGAAAGTAGATATATATTAATAATTAGTAAAGCATTTTTCTTACTCTACAGTGTAAGGAAAGGTTTATAAACTAAAGTGTACGATGTTGGTGATATATATACAGTATTGTGTATGTTTTATGCTGATGATTTATATGTGGAATGTTGACTCCATAGGTGATGTTAGCCAGAGCTTATTTACAGAAGGACCAGAAAGATATGGCTATTACAGTACTACAGGTAAGGGGTATTATCAGGTGTCAACACTTACCTGGGATATCTGAGATGTCAACAGGTAAAGGAGATATATCAAAAGGAAAAAGGGGATGTCACACTTGTTGACAGGTAAACAGGATATCTCTCATGTCAAGAGGTAGTTGTCTAAAGGAAAAGAGGATATCTTAGTTATGAACAAGTAAAGGTGATATCTCATTTGTCAAAAGGTAAAAAGGATATCTCAAATGTTAAAATGTGAACGGGATATTTCAGGTTGTAACACGTAAAAGAAATATCATAATTGTCAAAAAGTGAGAGATGTTAATTATTTAAGAGGATGGTTCAGATGTGAAGGGATTTTGCAGTCATTTAAGGTGTTTGAAACATGTAAATGTATGAGTGAATGTGTGCTTTTCATGTGCCCAGGGTGTTCTAAGGGAGGATGAAAAGAATGTGGATGCACTGGCAGAGTTTGCTCCCCTGATATTTCCATATGCTCAGCCAAGCCAGAAGGATAATACTATGTCAGTTGTCCTCACTCTTCTCTCCAACAACAAAGGTATGAGGGTAAAAATGTAAACAGGAAACAGATAAAATGGACCAGTAGTGATTTTATTTCTAAAATCCTTATTGCAGAAGTCAAAACAAAGTGATCAAATATATCTGTATAGGCAATTATAGAGGTTAAAATCACACCTTTAGTCGATAGTGAGGGAAAAGATACCATATAATTGTTTATGCTTAATGCAAACATGGACGGGTCAGAGTTTGTTTGTAAATGGTATAAATTGTATTTATTTTTTATTTGAATGTCTTTAGATAACAGCTTCATCAAGGAGAAGTTTGCTTCAATGTGTAAAGCAGAGCATGGACTTGAGGTCTTAGAAAGGTAATTCAAATATCACATAATTAACATCAAGTTATCTACTCTGTGTTGATCTTGCACTCTTAACCTTTCCACAGAATGTAAGATAAATGCTTTGCTACACTGAGTTATATAAACTTGAGGTGAAAATATTACTGAAAGTTTAGGTCTAATACATAAACAGATTTTACCTGCTTATCTGTCTGTTTTGGTTTTTTTTTTTGCCACAATATCTATAGTTCTGTTAGGCCACTTGCACTTAAACATAACCCAATACTTCTTCGAAGAAAGTGCTTGAGGAAGAATGATTTTCAGGTCCTGAGGTCAATTGTTAAAGTCAGTGTTACTATAAATAGAAAAACACTTTCTGCAGAATATCTTAGTTCTGATTGGATGATTACACTAACTTTCTACATTGCTTCTTCATAGGAAATGCTAGGTCTTTATTTATTCATGACATAATGAAGTATGATTGAATAGAATGAAATGAGGAGCCACCTGACTAAGACCAAGATCATAAGGTCAAGATCATAAGGTCAGAGTTCAGGGGAATAATTGCAATATTTCAGACCAAAAGCCCAGATCAACGACAAAGGTTTTTAATGACATAAGGAAGTATTATTATTAGCTGAAATCAAATGAGAAGTTGCCAAAATACAGGTCAAGGTCACCAGGTCAAGGGTACCAAGCATTACAACATTTAATTACCTTATATCTGTTTTGCTCTAACATCATTTTATATAAATATTCTGAAATTTGTTTTAGGCAGCCATTAATTATTATAGATAGACACACAGGCATGTGTTGACCCTTCTGTCTGTATACACAAAAGCAGCCTTTGTCATTTTAGAATTCTCTATTGTGTCCCTTCATAACTATCTCCCTGATCTGTTTCTGTGTTTGTATTATGTCCATCTAAAGTGATATACATAGCTAATTGTTTCCTTTAATTAACATGTTCTTTTCATTGTTTCAACTTGATTCTTCTGATTTGTAACAGTGTGTCTGGACAAGCTTGGAAAGATGTTTCAGCTGTGGTTTTCATGGCAACCTCCTTGCGGGACTGTGGAGGTCAGTATTTTTGATAGCATAGAATATATAAGGTCTTCATGTTATTGGTAAATATTTAGTCACTATAAAGTAGGTTTTACTGATGGCAGCCGAGGATGATTAAAGACATTCAACCTCAGATAAGATATAAAATTTAGACCTATTCTTAATAAGTGTTAGTAAATACTTACTTATTTTTTTTTACATTCATGTGGATGTAACAGCATTGGATTTGTGCACATACTCCTTACAATATAATATAAACACATAAACCTCTCAACAGATTTTGTGTCTTGTCATCATCAAAGTATAGCTCAAATACAATTCTTCTGACTTCAATGACCTTTGGACAAGGTCAATGAGTGAATGACAACAAATATCACGGAAGTATAGCATCAAGTATGATTTTTGCGATTTCATTGATCTTTAGACTGGGTGAATGACACCAACATATAGCATTAAGTACAATTCTTCTGATTTCAATGACCTTCAGACAAGGGAAATGGATAAATATCACACTAACCTACTTTTGGAGTGAGTATTTCATCTATATGAAACTCTGCTGACTGATTTTACATTAGTTGTAACAGCAATATCAGGTAGTTTACAACAGCATTTATACTTGTAGCCATACAGGAGTCACTCAAGTTATTGCACCATGCCTACAGACTGGAGCCAAGCAATGCCCACACACTGCTAACCTATGTACATACAATGGAGGTAAGACAAACCTAGTAATCTGTAAACTCAATGCACGCTTGACGTATCACTAAGGCCTGGGTAGTCGGGTGGCGCAGTGATAACACACTCACCTTTCACCTATACGTCGGGTTCATTGAACTGAACAGACATGAAAAGGTATGGGGTCACCTGCCCAACCACATGTGTTTTCCTCGAGTATTCGGTAAGACCCCTCGCATGTTTTCCAGACCAACAAAAACAATTAATATATTTTTGAAAACTTGTTATAAAATGAATAAAGTGTAAATAGGACCTGAAATGGTAGGGATACTTTGGCTTCTTTCGCTTTCATCAAATCTCTGTGAATACGTCCACATATGAGCATTACATGTGAAAATATTGACACATGAATATTTTCAGTTGGTAATCAGAAAAGAAGAAAATCTAAGCCATTAGAACATGGTTATAGCTAGTCTAATGGTAAACTATGTCAGCATTCAAACATCATGTAGTCAGTGTTATGTTGTCATGGTTAGTCAAATGTTTGAGATATTACTAATAACTTATGAGATTCTAGTCTTTAGATCTGTAGAAAAAGGTTTGATTGTGAAATAGGTAGTGACTCTCGCAACGATGCATATGGGATAACTGCAGAATAAAGTAAAAAATCAGTTCAGTAACTGCTACGACAAAGATACGTACTCACCACTCCCCATGAAATTACTGAACCAATGTCGTAACAGATACAATAAAGACACTGTACTAAAGTATTAGTATACACCATGTTATTGATCTGTTTTTAATACATTTTTTTTTATAACATTCTTTATACATTTTCTAAATATTTTATTCAGAACATGATTGATTACTCTTGAGGTTCTACAAGAAATATTTTTTATAAACATGTAGCTGACCAGTGGCCCAGATTTCAATTGACACTTTAACATATTTAAGTACTGCTGCAGTAACTTTTTGTGGGATTTTTCTGGCAAGCACTATTTCCATAATTTGATGAGTCCAGTTACAAAGATATGTAACAGATTCTCAAAATTTGAACGAGTCCCACAGGATGAATCAAGGACTCAAATATTTTAGTCCAAAAAATGTCTAACTTCCCACTGCCCCATTACTGACCAAGTGAAGTACAACACACAATAACAATGTGTTAGTTTTACTCAAGTTTATACTTAACATGACATCTGTCTAGATAGTTGTAGGACAAGGACCACTTTACAGTATCCAATTACCATTAACAGTATTTGATAAATGTTATGTCCCTTTATTGACAAATTTGACAAATCATTAACACTAGACACAATATAAAACCGGAAAAATTCTCCCTGCATCCTTAAACCCAAATGGACATTACAAAAATAGCCCACTGTATAGTTAGGTAGTGGTGACTTCAGTCTAGATGTTATACAAATGTAAAGGTTATTGCTACCTGCATGTAGATGTATAAGTAGTTAAATATTTCATAATCTCTTACAGTTAGTGGAACAACATACAAAGGCAGTTACCTTGATCAAAGAATTTGTCCAGAAATTCCCTGACCAGACAGCAGGATGTTTTAGCTGCGGAATGGTCGAGCCTGTCATCAAGGGGTTAACAGGGGATATCTATTGTAACAGTGAGTACTGATTTACAGGGGAGGTCTGTTGTAACAGTGAGTACTGATTTACAGGGGAGATCTGTTGTAACAGTGAGTACTGATTTACAGGGGAGATATGTTGTAACAGTGAGTACTGATTTACAGGGGAGATATGTTGTAACAGTGAGTACTGATTTACAGGGGAGATCTGTTGTAACAGTGAGTACTGATTTACAGGGGAGGTATGTTGTAACAGTGAGTACTGATTTACAGGGGAGGTATGTTGTAACAGTGAGTACTGATTTACAGGGGAGGTCTGTTGTAACAGTGAGTACTGATTTACAGGGGAGGTATGTTGTAACAGTGAGTACTGATTTACAGGGGAGGTCTGTTGTAACAGTGAGTACTGATTTACAGGGGAGATATGTTGTAACAGTGAGTACTGATTTACAGGGGTGGTATGTTGTAACAGTGAGTACTGATTTACAGGGGAGATCTGTTGTAACAGTGAGTACTGATTTACAGGGGAGATATGTTGAAACAATGAGTACTGATTTACAGGGGAGATCTGTTGTAACAGTGAGTACTGATTTACAGGGGAGATATGTTGTAACAGTGAGTACTGATTTACAGGGGAGATATGTTGTAACAGTGAGTACTGATTTACAGGGGAGATAAGTTGTAACAGTGAGAATTGAGTTTCAGGTTTTACAGCGAGTGGTTATCTGTTAACTTATTTTCATTTTTCAGTTCCGGAATCCAATGACCCAAACCTTGCACATGTTGACCCTATCATTGGTGACTACACTGAGGAACAACGCTACCTCTTGGCTCTCATGTTTACATTGGTCAAAATACTGTTTGTCAAAGGAGCACTTGGTTACATTCCATCCCTGACAAGGTTACTTGGTGGGTATAATCTTGCACCAGTTATTGTGTAATAATGTTTTATATTTGAACAATATTCACATTTTTCAAGCATTGTTCTTTTTTCCACAGATCCCTGCTGTGAAGGTCACAATCTCCATGAGACCAACATCAGGAATGAATATGCCTACTACACCTGTATTGGCAAGGTAGCTCTACAAATTCCATCTCTTTTTCTTTCCTGCACACACTGTAGTAGTCTCATTTCTTGACACTGACTTTGGATACACCAAGGCTCAAACATTGTGATTGGTGAAAAGTTAAGATTACTATTTAAAATCATGGGTTTTATCTTTTCACTCTCTTTCCCTGCAGATTTTACTGAAATTTCAAAAAGATGTTTTTTCATTTTATGTAGGTCACAACAATCAATATACATGTGCCATTGGTAAAATGTCAAGGTCATCACTCCAAAATAAGAAAGAATTTCATCATTATTGTCATTACTATAGTAATCCTTAACAGGTTCTCTTGAAATTTCATTCTTGTGTGTCTTAAGACTAAATTTTACACCTGTAAATATTGTCATTAACAGGTCAAGGTCATTATCCATGTTACAGAGAAAAAAAAATTTCGAAGGAAATTTCAAAATCTTGTTTACTTTTCACAACTTGAATGAAATTCAGTGTAATTGCTTTCCACATACATGCATGATGCTTTGTGATTAATGAGTTATCGATTGAAATACAATTTACAAGATTTCTTAAGAAAATTGATACCTACATAGCTGAAACATTTTGTTCACCATCTCTTGTCCGTAATTTTTATCAGGTACTAAGCCAACAAGAGGAGCTACCCCACCTCACCCCTGACACATCGTATGTCTACTTTGTAGGCGACAGTCATTGTGTACCTCCTGCCTGGCAGAAAATCAGTTATCAGGTAAGTCTCTCCACCTCACCCCAACATGTCATATGTATACTTGGTAGAAGACAGGTCTCCACACTTTAACTTACACACATTGTATATATACTTTGTAGGTGACAGTCATTGTGTACATTTTACCTGTTACAAAATAAAATATCAGGTAAATTTAATTTCTGTAACAAAAATACACCGGACGTGTATACGCTCAACACATGCCAAGAGAAATACAACTTTGCCTCAAAACAACTACAAATATCGAAATGAAATAATTTTCTAATCAAAATGCCACTAAGAAACCACATTTTCATGTCTTACCAAAAAACTTACCAAGTTTGAATTTTTTTTGGTTAAAATTGAGGGAGAGATCAAAAAGCTCGAAATCACTTACTGTTTATAAAAAAACAAGGTTAGCCATGACAATAAAGCCCATCAAGTTTCAAATAAATAGACAAGAACTGAAGGCGGAAATATCAAGAAAAGATCAAAGTGCTGAAATGAGAATGAGCAATAACTTTTCCAAACAATAATATAAAGGAGATTTTGGTTTAAAAGCAAGGAAGAAGATCTCAAGCAATCAGAAAGAGCCTAATAGGTTTCATAGAAGTTGGATAAAACTGAGGGAGGTTTCTGGACAAACGTTTAAAAAAAAGTTTCATTTTAAGTTTGAAAGAAGTGGGAGGATATCTCTAGAAAATCTGTCATGTTTCACAGTGCAGGATAATCTTTTCTGTAGAAATATATATGTGTTTTCTCTTCATTACAGGGAAGCCCTGTCACTATCCATCCTATCCTGTCTACAGGGACAAAGATCTGGCACCTGAGGGAGGAGAGTGTCTTCTATCCCAAGACGAACTTTGAGTCAGCAGTAGACAGCATACCAAACAACTCTACTGTGATGTTTTGTTTAGGAGAGATAGACTGTCGCGAGGCTCTTCTATACTGTGTAGAACAGGCCAGATATGATGTAAATATCAAAACTTCTCTTGCATCTATTTTGTAAGACTAACACAAATGTGTGGTTTCTGTCTTGGGGAAGCTATTTCATGTTGTTTACAGCTCATGACCATGCTAATCTAGATGTCGGAATTTCCTATCTTCGACATCACCTTTCAAACAATACTGCCACCACAGTTACATAAAAGAGTGATAGTTTAGATTGGCAATAAACCATTACAGCAAGTTTTGAAAGCAAGTCTCTTTCATAGGAATTTAGATATGATTTTAATAACTGGGATGGAGTTTAATGAGGTACACAAACAGTTCAGATGAGCTTTGATAATAATACATGACTTAAAAAATTTGTTTTGTCAGAGTTTAGAAGATGCTATCAATGCAGTCATAGACATCTACCTTGAAAAGTTGCTAATGCTGAGGAAGGAAAGGAACTGGGACATCCATGTACATCCAGTGATGCCTGTCCTGGAGCCTACAAGGTAATACTGTCACACTTGAACCATGTTTCCCACTAGTGTTATTCATTGAAGCTTGTCATAGAAGTTATCAAATTACTGTATGGTGTTCAAAAGCATGTACTACAGGAAATAAGTGTAGAAATTGCCAGATTGATTCATGTTGATACATTTGTTTATAGACCAGTAGTGATGCAGTTCAACAAACAGCTGGCTACAAGAGTCCATAAAAACAAGCGGCTACACTGGTTGACCTTTGTAGAAGATCTTCTGATAGATGGTTCTTTACGTCCAGAGTATGGTGAGTTACAACACTATATACTGACTGGTGACTTTATTTTTGTTGCCTGGCACTTGTTAAGTAAAACTTCATCAGGTCTCTTGACATGCAGTGTCTGGAAATTACAACATTGTGTGGAAGCTGTGCTTTACCTTCTTCAAATTTTTTCTTAAAATTAGATGTGTAATTTGAACAGAACAAATAGGATAAAGCTTGTTGTTATAGGCTCAGATAAGATTGAGACACCTCAATGCTTTAACACAGTGTCACTATTTCAGTAGTCCTTTCTAAATCAAATTTATTGACTCTCCAACAGGTCAACTTAACCAAAACTGCTAAAAATTTGCAGAAGACTAACTCAGTGTCCGTCTCATCCTTTAATTGTAACTGAAGGCACAATACATTTTATATGGTCTAACAAATAATGGAATAACATTGCCTTTGGTCTTCAAGATCTTTGATGTTCTAATTTACGACCCGACTCATGAAGGATGCTAATCAGTAACTTATCTGCTCAGTGGATTTTACAGATTATTTCAAACCTCAAAAAAAACCACAAAAAATATTTTGTTATCCTTTTTTATTCTTACAGAGTTTGATGGCACACATTGTCATCCAAGTTATGTATCCCTGTTAGAGAAAGCACTGGCAGAGAACAAAGTGGAAACCAGCCAGACCTGATATACAGGAACTTCATGACCCACTCACTACGAACATGTTGTACAGATCAGAAATATGATTACAAAGAATGTGTGGAATACTATAGCAGACAGTATTAGAAGGAGTTATACAATTATAATACAGGGAGTTAAGTTTGAAAAACCTCAATGGAGTTTCATGTCATATATGTAGTTTTACAAGACCTATGTTATTAATGAATTTGCCGTCCAAAAGAAATCTGTTATTGTCACACTTTTTACACCAATCAATTTTTAATTTGTATAAAAATACCTGTTCATTCCTTTATAAAATCATATACTTCTATGAAATGGTTTTGACTTTTATTTCCATAGCAAAAGGAAGACCTCGGACTACACCAGGTGAAGGAGTGATAGCGTTTTACATGGTGGGTGGGGGATCTCTTTCCAGAGAAGGTTTTGATATTTTTGTTGTCTTCACCTTGTAATATAACCAAAACATGTACCCATGAAACACCAGATATATCTATGTATCAATTCCTGCAAATGTTTCAACCTGAAGTCTCGTAGTTTTCACACAAGTCCTGAAATGTTTTGTTACTTCGCATAGATAGAAGTGTTCTCTTACCAAAATCAATATTTTTAAATGTAAGGGAATTGACTTATTCTTTCATATTCATGTTTACATCTAGTAACCATGACAGCAACGCCAGAATACAATTTTTGTTTAATCAACTAAAAAAAAAAAAAAGAAGAAAATGTCCAAGAAGTCCTTCCAATGGAATGTTATGTAGCTGATTGACCTCTAAATGCAGGGAGAGCATTTACAACATGCCAAGCATTACAATACAAGATCTCCCATCAGCCACTTTCTGTTTAATAGAATCCCTTCTTTTGTAAATATGAATTAATTTGTACAAAAATTTACAAAGTTAAGAAAGTCATATGTTTAGTGTCTTTGGCAGATGGAGAGGAGTGTCAGATACTTGGAGAAGGTGGTGTAATGTTATGAGCATTCTCATAATTCACTGTCTTGCACCTGTTTAAGTTAAGTTAAAATGTGCCATATGATTGAGAAGTAATGCATCCATGGAAAAATAATAAACTCTTGAACTGACAGATTGTGATGGTAAAATAGCAGTGAAAAATGGAAGCTGGAATAACACAAAATCTTTGGCTTGTATCTTTTAATTAAGCGGATGAATATATAAAAACATTAGTGTATTTAATATACTATTAACAGCTGAATTAAACAGTATCATCCTGTGACAATTATTTGTATGAATGAAAGGACTAGATCAGTGTCTCGGCTAAGACCACTGGGACGGAAGAGTTGTTTCAGTGCTTTAAAGTCCTCACTTTCCCAGTCGTATTTCTTCCCCTACTAGACCATCCCAGTCAGAACTGCTCTCTTCCATTTCCCAGTTCAGTGTACAACATTGTCGCTATCTGCTGTTGTTCCATATAGTACCGGTAGAACAGTCTGTACAGAATCAATCTGATGACTTCAGTTTATATCTTGTCACCAAGTTTCCAGCTCTCACGACTCCTGAGATTCACAGATCTCATTGTTGTCTTGAAAGGACAAGTATATCCAATCCAAGTTTCCAATGTCACTGGAGAACAATTGAAATAGGATACCTTTCCTCCTCTTGGTAAATGTTCTGGGACAGAAGGCTTAGACTCTTGACAAAAGAAAGTCTCATTCCAGATCATCTCATATAACAATCTCAGCTTTTGACCATATCTTCTCCAACTATGAGGCGTGTAGTACTTCAGGTGTTGCTCTGTCGCTGGCGTATCCAAAAACGCTTGACGTCATCATGGCCCGATCGAGACACTACCATCACACGTTTGGATGGGTTTTCCCATGTCAGTACATCCAGATCCTGTCAGAACACACAACATTTAGTAGAGACAAACAAGGATCAGGAACAAATCTTGTGGGAATTTCAATGAAAAAATTGTATTAAAGTTTTCATTTCTGAAAATTATGTTGACAAATGTCTGAAGTTTATCAACACAATATGGATGATAATATCACTTACTTTTGCATAGTCTCTAAGGAGTTCAAAGTCACTCTGAGAGTTGAACTGACTGTAAAGAACACCATCTGTGAACTTGAACCTGTCTCGTTCCATCTCCCATAAACGTATCTGATCTGTGATGGTTGGGGGTAGCACAGGATTCTAAAACATTTTTATACAAATAATGAAAAAAAAAAACCAAAGATGTGAATACAGTGACGGTTCTGTGATGTGACTATAGTAACAAGTGTATGATGTGAAACCACAATGTTAATTTCAATCAGACAAAAATTCTCTAAGCCAAAAGAAGTTTCAGGTTAAGTTTGGTGTCATCTCCTAACCAACACAGGAGAAGGATTTTAAAGTGCAGGATCTCTATCAAATGAAGGAAGCAGATCACCCAGACAATGCTGAGAAATTTAATATTTTACCCTATAGAGATCAAACCTCTTACCACTGAACATTTGTTTGTGATTTTACATTTAACATCTTATCAACAGCTAGGGTCATTCAACATGGGAAGAAAGGCAACATATTTAAATTATATTATAATAGTGTCATCACTGAGTTACAGTACTTGAGATGTGATTTAAGTTGATACCAGCTGACTAACATTCTGTTCCATCTATGACATTTGATGTTCTGATTTTGTACGTCATGTGATGCAAGCTGCGCCAGACCAACGGTATCACGAGAGATGGTTATAAACAACATATTTAAATTATGATAATTGTAATAAGTAGTGTCTATCACTGAGTTACAATACTTGAGATGTGATTTAAGTTGATACCAGCTGACTAACAAGAAAGTACTAAATTTTCTAACAAGACAATATGCTGGCAGTCAGGAACATGAAAGTATGTTGGAATGTGTGTGTGGCTAGAGTGCATAAATGGGGACATTTTGAAGATTCAGATTAATGTTTGAGTATTCCTTAAATGTTTTAGCACATTCATCTTTAAACAGTATCATGTTTGTTTGTTTGTTAGCCGAGTGTATCCTCAAAGTGGTGTCTCTTTGTACCAGAAGCTGGTGATTACTTTTCTGAATATCATGCTGAAGACCCATCACATGTTGTCCAGAACAAATGGTGTAAATAGTCTTGCCCTGTGCACTGTGATCTCAGATTCCAGAGAAATTGATTGCTCTGATTACAGATCAAAACACACAACTCTGAGCTACTTCAGTTCCCTTCTCTGGTCAAAAGATCTTTGACTACTGTAACTGTATATAGATACATTAACACCAGTCAGTTTCAGTAGTGTTACAGGTATTTACTCACTTGTTTCAGCATTTTTGGGTGAGCGTGGGTCCTAAGGAAGCTGATTATCTGTAAGGGTAAAAAGAAATACCCTGTACATAGTACACACAAAATTTGTTCTACACCATAGAATGTTGAAGGATTCATTTTTCTGTGTTAAATATACTTCTCAAAATTATTCATAAGTTCTTTTATTTCAAACACTGAATAAAACAACATTAATTTTATATTATTACAGGTAAATTAAAAAGGGTTCCCTGTGCCTCTCTCTTACACTTTCTCTACCCTTAAATGGTCTGCTGTGATGCCACGGACAAATGCTTCTATTACACTTTCTCTACCCTTAAATGGTCTGCTGTGATGCCACGGACAAATGCTTCTCTTACACTTTCTCTACCCTTACATGGTCTGCTGTGATGCCACGGACAAATGCCTCTCTTACACTTTCTCTACCCTTACATGGTCTGCTGTGATGCCACGGACAAATGCCTCTCTTACACTTTCTCTACCCTTACATGGTCTGCTGTGATACCAGAGACCAATGCTTCCCTCACACTTTCTCAATCTTTACCTAATGTGCTGTTATACCACAGACTTATGCTTCCCTCAAACTGTTTCTTCCCTTATCTACTCTGCTGTTATACCACAAACTAACATTTCTCTCACACTTTCTCAATCTTTACCTGCTCTGCTGTGATGCCACGGACTAATGCTTCTCTCACACTTTCTCAATCTTTACCTGCTCTGCTGTGATGCCACGGACTAATGCTTCTCTCACACTTTCTCAATCTTTACCTTCTCTGCTGTGATGCCACGGACTAATGCTTCTCTCACACTTTCTCTAATCTTTACCTGCTCTGCTGTGATGCCACGGACTAATGCTTCTCTCACACTTTCTCTGGACAAATTACCCACGGCCATGTTTGGAAACCTAAACAAGAGAAATTAGATGAGGTACATGTATTTGTTTTGGTCAAACTAAATGAAGATGATAAAACCTATATATGGATTTTATATCTCTATTGAACATTTGCCATGTGCTAACTGAAATGCATATTATTGATACTCCTGCCTTTTGTCAGGGCTTTTCAATCTTTGTTTACTTGATGTTGACTTTAAACTGAATTGTGCCTGATCACAAATGTCAAAATAATTGCTCAACACGTAAGTATAGGTCCACACTTCAATGAATATAAAAAGCAATTTTATAAATTTTCATAAATACACTTGTTCAAATAAATAAGATAACATATCTTAAACAATTATTTATACTTTTAAATGACAATGACAGTGCAAGTTACAGGATAAATTTCATAACCAAAGCTGTAAAAGAAAGGTGCCATGTTTGGTTTAACCTCCAAGAGAAAATTAGATCAGGTACATGTATTTGTTTTGCAAAATGGTCTCTTGAAGATGATAAAACCTATATATGGATTTTATATCTCTATTGAACATTTACCTTTGTTTTTGAAATCTATGAGCTAACTGAAATGCATATTATTGATACTCCAGCCTTTTGTTAGGGCTTTTCAATCTTTGTTTACTTGATGATTTGTTTATTTTTTTTTGTGCCTGTTACAGGTGTTGTAAATGTTCATAAACTGGTCTTCATTGAATGTACTCGATGATGGCACAAGATATTTTTATTAAGCACCTATTAGCAAATATCATTTGAAAAAGATCCCAAAGTATTATTAGATAGCAGTCAGTTACAGGTGGATAATGGACAATATGCTTGTGCTGTATTACATCGAGATGGCTGCCTGTGGGCCACCTTGATTTTAAACAGTCCAAAAAAGGTACAATGCACAATAAATATAAAAAGCAATTTTATAAATTTTCGTAAATATACTTGTTTATTAGACTATGATTTATTCTTTTAAATGAAATGTGCTGCCTGTCAGCCATCTTTTTCAAATCAGTGCAAAAAGGTATAATGCACAACATTTTTTGAACCAAAGGGAACCTGCATATGAATATATATGTAGCAGTCATATTACTTTCCAATGACAGTGCTAGTTACAGGATAAATTTTATGACCAAAGCTGTAAAAGAATCTCTTGGTTTAACCTCTAGATAAAATTAAGTATCAGACCCTTGGTCAGATCATTAATGCAAACCAGTCTGTTAATTTCTAAACATTTCAGGCTTGACTTTATGTAGATGTTAAACTTGGCCTTGCAAGTCTCCTGGCAGAAAAAGAAATAAGATCATGATTGATCACAGGTTTTTAAAAACTACTTTTCTCCAGCTTATGTATCTATCTACCCCTGGCAGCTTACATCTCTCACACTGTACTTCAAAACAGCAATGTCAAACAAATCAACTGAATTAAACAGGGAATAACACATGGCTACAAAAAATAAGTTTAAACCTAACTTACCTGTACAGCATCTCACAGAATAGTGCCACCAGAGCAACCTTTAGTGGAGAATCTGTAATACACAAGGGCCAACAATTAACACATTAGAACCATAACTTTCAAAACAATATTATACACAATTTGTCATGGACTGATTAGTACATACTGGTGTAGGTGTACATCTTGTAGAATTTTTCCACCATCAGATAGCCCTGTAATATTTACCTGTGAAGGTATAAACCCTGCAGTTTTTTTTTCACTATCAAATAGCTGTGTATCACTTGCCTGTAAAAGAGTATATCCTGTTGTTTGTCTTCAACTTCAGGTTGTCATAAAATAATTCATTGTGTAGGTATACATCCTGTAGTAGGTCTCCAACGTGTTGTATTCTTGTCATACTAAACTGTGTAGGGGTATACCCTGTAGATGATCTCCACCATCAGGATGCCTTATAATACTTACCTGTACAGACATGCACCTGTTGATGGTCCCTACCATCATGAAGCCTTGTAGTACTTACCTGTGTATGCATACACCCTGTAGTTGGTCTCCACCATCAGGTAGCCTTGTTGATTGGTATCAGTGTTTAGGCTGGTTACACCTGATGCTAGATTAACAGCCAGGCGTGTTGGATAATATCGCATGGCCTTTCTCTACAATAAACATCAGAGATATTTTACCATAACTTTTTGTCCTACACTACCTATGTGTCAACATTGACAAAGCAATGACATTAGTAATCAATGTACCCATGTTTAAAGCAGAATTTAGGTTTACTACACTTTTTTTTATTTTTTCTTACAAATTTTCTCCCTTGTGTACACAAAATATCCAGTTCATTTCTGTTCAACCTCTCCTTGATATACTTGTGTACAATAGAGCTACCTTTCTCAGATAGACCAGACTAAACTCTCCTAGATATATTCATTAAACCTACATGTCTTTAATTGAGCAGACTAAATTTCCCTAGATATACTCACTAGACCTGCGCATCTCCAATAGGCCAGACTGAACTCTCCCCTATATATACACACTAGACCAACCACCTTTCACTGATAGACCAGACTAAACTCTCCCCTATATATACACTAGACCCACCTTTCTCTGATAGACCAGACTAATCTCTCCCCTATATATACACTAGACTCACCTTTCTCTGATAGACCAGTCCAAACTCCCTAAGATGTTGTAAGAAGCGAAGCTGTTGTTCTGTCATGCCCTCAGTGGAATAATCCTACAAGTAACACACACATTTAGTACCTTATGACATCAATAACTGCAAAGAAATTATGCACATTTAATGATGGTTGGATAGCAATATTTCTTTAAACATTTTAAAATTCTTCAACTTTAATTAGGAAACTTTTGGTCATTGTAATACCAGTTTGTGGGTAGATTATAAAAATTTTAGAACAAGAAAAACTACATGTATAATTACAGAGCTTTATCTTTCATGAATATATCAACTTTGAGGGAGTTAATATAAAGTAAATAATCTGTAACTCTTCATAAGAATCCTAACATTGTATAGGGACCTGACAGCTACCCTTACCTTGCCTAGTGTGGAGAAGCTGAGCTGGAAGAGGAAGGACAGACACTCGGTTAGATTCATCCCTCGGGACTGAAAGAGCAGAAAGATACAACTTTTACAATCAACAGAAAACAGTCATAACTTAAACTGTTGTCCAGGCATTACATCATTGTGTTCCTAGAATTGTTCTGAATCTCATATCATCACATCCCATGAAATTTATCCAGGTGGGTTTCAAAAGTTTGGAGGTTGAATCAAATTTTTAGGTTATAAATTCCAGTTGTTAACAATTTGTTAAGTACCTGGTAAATTAATATTGTTTAACATCCAGTTATCCAGGCTGAGTGAATGTCCTTGGGTCCTTTTAGTATGTTTTACTGATAAAAGTCCCTTCAATACTATTGGATCATAGCCTCCAAGTACTGCAACGTGACTTTCCTTGACAGTCACTAGGTACTGTAGCCTGACTTACCTCAACAGTCTCTAGGCACTGTAGTGTGATTAACCTCAACAGCCTCTAGGTAATGTAGCATGACCTACCTTGATGTCTCTAGGTTCTACAGCATGTCTCTTGGTACTGTAGTGTGACATGATTTGACACAGTCTGTATGTACTATAACATGGCTTACTTTAATGGTATCTTGGCACTGTAGCTTGACTTACCTCTACAGTCTCTAAGTACTGCAGCATGAAGTACCAGACTTGTGATGAGCTGTCCATAAGGAGAAACTGGAACCCAGCAGGTGTTATAGACGGTAGGGGTTCATTAGGCTCACTGAATATAATTACAACAGGTATTAGCATAATGAGATCAGAATCAAATAAACATAGAAAACAAATATAACATGGCGAGGTTTGTTGTACATTAATGATTCCTAAATAATGACCCACAAGACTACTTATTAAGTATCTGTTCAGTTGTTCGAGACAATTAAATATCAGCTTGTTTAAATGACCAAGGTGACTGGAATCTAGGATTTAAAAACTCTGCCAAGCTAAGGTTAAGGTTACAATACACCTAGCTCTCTTAGTTATTATGATAACTATCTGCCAAGCTCACTAATAAATTGTTTAGAAAACTATCAAACTCACTGACTTGTTGATTAACTATCTGACAAGCTCTTGATAAGATTTTTGGCAACTATTTGTCTTTTCTGAAAAATACACATACCTTTTCATGAGACCTGAATGTAGAAGAACATCTATGATGTCATTACCAACTCCATCTGTACCTTCAGATGACCCAACCATGAAGTGTAGTACACACTACAATACAATGTATTACACTGAATGAACAATGAAATTCAGTAACATATACATTGTATAACAGTAGAATATATGATTAACAGATTGATTAGGATTTTATGAGAAATTCATAGTGGAAATTATAGGAATGAATCCAAGAAATTTTCATTTTTTGAAAGTTTCTGGAGAGCTAAAAAGGAACAAAGGTTGATAACACACTACTGATATGGCCTGTTTGTTTCATCATGAAGTCTGATTATACTATCTATTTCCACTTTGAATTACCTCCCATCTCTCCAAGGCATACTTGTCCAGGAATGGAATGTCTTTAGCATGTTTGTCTGGAATCAGAGCTCCCCCACCTATCCATGCTCTTTCTCTGTGGGTAGATTTAGGAAAACAAATAGTATAGAGAGCAGAGAGAAGTATAAACAAAAAGAAGTGATGCCATAATCAGACTGGAGACATGAGGATCACAACAGGATTACAATCTGACTAAACACAAACTTTTAAGTTTTCATTTGTAGTGGTACCCTCCAATTTTGGTAAAACATGGAACGGGTGCTATGAATGTGATCCTTCCAATAGTTCAGATTATTTTGAAGAAGAAACACTTGAAGAATGATTAAGTAGACTTTATAATTTGTTTAGTCAAACATACAACATATGAGAGATAAAAAAAACCAACTGTACACACCCTCCCAATAGGGCCACTCTCATGTTTTGTCTGAAGGTGGGGCTGAGTGTCCAACCAGGCAGACCTCCTACCATACCCTGTTCCTGCCATACCCGTAGTTCTGACAGTACCCGTGCAGATGTCTTGTGCTCACTGAAACATATCATTTTCTCATCATTAACACAATTTTAAAATATACAGAGGGGCTTTCCAATACAGATTCCACTCAATTCTGAATTATTAAAACATACTGAAAATTACTTCTGAAATTTGGCCTTACCTAACCAATCATGGCCAAAGTTCTGACCAGCAGACTGTGAAATCAATAACAATGACAAGATCAAACAATATAAAATGAATCCAACTTTTCAACAAAACGCGTAAGAGCTAAAGCAAGTAAGAGCTATAGATAAAAGTGAAAATAAGACTTGTGCAGAGCTAGAAAACACCATTTTGCATCTAACTTGTAAGTCATGAAGCACATTATTTTAACACACACAAAATGGAAACATTATTGGAGAGTTATTTTTTTAAAGATAACTTTATTACACTGATATAAAAAAACAACAGTTCATAATGTATATCAGTCGTAAACACTTTAAGACAAACCAACCACCCAACAAGGGGCCTGTGTACAAAGTATTAGCTAAGTGCTGACATCAGCAAGGTACAGAGTTCCTTTTTAATCAAAACTTCTTTCTATATTCAGTTGGAAATCTGCACTGTAAATGCTCTAAGCAAACGGAATGGTAAACATAATGAATGTACACAACTATAAATCCAAGATAGGACAACTCTGTTCACTTCTGCAAACCAAATCTTTCATAAACCCACCAAATATTAATGTACCATGTATAGTCAGTTTAGAGTGGTTCCACTGAGTATGTACATGCATGGATTTCTTATGAATTACCTAATCCTGGTGATCAATTATGAGAAGACAAGTGAACAGGGATAAACCTTCATTCAGTTGTGTCATTTCCTGGACAGACACAAGTTACAGTTAAACATATCATTTTCTAACACACATTTTAATACAGATCAACTTCCCAATTGCGTTGAAATAATACCTACTTCTGGTGTTTATTGGTGACCCACATGGCTACAACAGACTGAGACACAGCCTGCTCAACAAACAGCATCCTCATAACATAGTGTTTGGACAGCTCTGGCAGCTCACTACAACAAAAATCAAATCTGAATAGCCACAATTTTCATACTATCAGAAATTATCCCTTTTATTTAGGCATTATAACAACAAATCATCAAAATTGTGAAAACAATGTTTAGTTACTTGGTACCATGTAAATGGATGTCACTAGCTTTACATTTCCTGTTTTTGTATCGCTAAAGAAATTATTTCAATGCCTCCTCTAAGATTGACTGATTGGTCTTTTTACCAATAGCTTTTACATCTCCATGAATCAGTTAAAATGTGAAGACATGTTTCAGGTTGGGTACTGTTTCCATTAAGCTAAAATTGTCAGCCCTTTCAAGCAAAAGTAATCATGAACTAAAAAAAAATATATACACTTTTAAAATAAATCGTAACATATAATAATGCAAGTAATGAAATGATGCTCTGAAACTTCCTCTGAACACAGGATAAAAGTTCCCTCGTTGCAAGTAAATTCCCGTAGGACAATGTGTAAACAAAAATAAATAGGTCTCGGTGAAGATGTCAATTATGCAAGTCAGTATAATCAGCTTTTGAAAATAGCCAAAGGAAATGACAAATATATATACTCCCAATCATAATGACAGTAGCTAGCTGCTCATGGTCTCGGGTCAGTGTAACAGTTACAAAAGGTCCGAATTATTCTACTACATACCGGAAAACTGCCAGGCATGTTGCTGGATGATTATACAAATTATCCAAAGTGTCTGATGGTAGAGTCTTGAGGTAGCTATGCAAATCTTTACAATCTAATGTTTTAGATGCAGCAGACGGGCCTGCCATGCCTGCCGCCTGTTTCGACAGTCTTGCTGTCTGAAAATCTACCTCCGTTGCAAAAGAGCTCTTAACAACATTTTAACACATTTTCTCTAATTCTTATTATGACTCTCCTAATGAATGAATTTCAACCAAAGAAAATCTAAAGAGAAATACATTATTCGTCTATATAGGATATACACTTGAAATATTACTAGAAAACAAATAATTTTATATTGCCACTCTTTAGGCAACGGAGGAACGAATGTTAATCCAATATGTCAGCGCCCATGTTATCATATTGTGTTTCACGTACATGCTATAAAAAGTACGGAATAAGACTTACAGCAAAGTACTGCTGTGGGCATAGAATCGTGAGATACAGGAGTGTTGGAGGACTTCCAGTAGCATATAAAGAAAGCTTACGTGCAGCAGAAAAGATACTTTCTTGCAGGAAATCGGGATTGACATTGAGCTCGGTCGGCTCATGCAGGAGATTTCATTGCCGCGTAGTTTCATTTTCTAGTATTAGCGAAAATCAGGTAAGGGCTACATGTAACAAGCCAGAGACATGGATTCTTTAAACATGCATCAGTCATTTCTGAGTATAACCAATTGGATAGTTGACAACTTAACAGTATGCTGACTGTAACTGTGTTATATATTATTACATACACGTATTATCCGATCCATATTGATACAAACATAGATATGTAAGACAATGTCTAAGTCCATGATATTGATCATGCTTGGTAATACTGAGGAGCAAAACTTGCTTTCATCATAAACATCAGTTATGAAAAAATACAACACTTCACCACATTGTATATTAAATATTTCTGAACATTATCGTAGAGCTGGTAAGGTCAATAGAATAAACGTTCCTATGACACAACCATAGAAGATTTGAGTTAGACATTTTGATTACTACACAGTCACCTTCATCACACAAATGAACAGTGAGGAGCATATTATTACTAACATACATAGTGTACAAAATAGTAAGGAATCAATCAACGTTTTGACTGTAGTATAATCCTATATACACTAAGGTCTAAAATAGTGTGACAAGATGGTAAACACATTATAAACCAAAAAATACACATGATGGTAACAATGTGCTCTAGTCAATTTGGCTACACTTTTTAACACTTAGTCATAGATATGCTCAAGTTTGTGGCTGGCTTGTCCTCATTTAGTACTGATACCTCAGTGCTCAGTATGCTTCACACTGGTCATTTGTCTGAGGAATCTAAAGGTGACCATGTACTTATCGAAACTTCACATTCAAATCTTCTTCTGGTTGTGTTTTAAGAACTTCTTTTTTTATGTATATTGAAAATCTGTATTTTTAATTAGATTGCATGAACACTGAAAAAAGTACTGTAAAAAGTACTGTCAACTTAAAGTCATAAGTACCTGCATACATTTACAATGTAGATGAACTATTTTCATCATAAATCTCTAAAGAGGAAGTCACTTTGTACAAAATATTAATGGCTTTTGTGTATAAACTATTTGATGATTTCAGCTGTATTATTCTTGTATAAGAGTACATGTAGAATATTTACCTTTTTAGAATGGCATCAATACTACTGAAAAGACCAAACATGGGTCGACATATGATATACCTACATCACCAGGTCAGAAGAAAGGTATGTTCTGAACTTTCTTTATTCCTATTGTCAGTGCATATATATATATTGAGTTCCATCAAAATATGATATACCTATATCACCAGGTCAGAAAGAAGTACTATGTAGGTTGCAATTTTTGGGGTGTTTCAGATTTATTGCTTCATGCACATGGTCATTAATGATAGCATGAAATTAAATAACCAACAAATATTTTTACAATGAATGAAAATCTTGGAAAATACATGTTATTATCTCTGTATGGGTAAGAATATATTAGAGACATGTACAGAATTTAAAACCAGTGTCCATGAACTTGCCCTCCCCAGACATCCCCAAAATATCAGCCCTGTACTTTATCAGCATTCATTGTACTTCATTTAAGACACAACAAGAGCTTTGCCAAGTAGCTATAGTCCTGAGTATGTGGAGGCAGCTTGGTATGATTGGTGGGTACAGCAAGGCTACTTCAGGCCAAATGTTAAGGTTGGTATAGATTGTCTAGGAACTTAATGACTGGTACTTTTCATCAAAAACACCAAAGTGATTTACAAAAAAAAAGTCGCCTTACCGAGTTACTGCATATGTACTTCGAAAGTGTATGATGGTGATATTGTCTATAAGTTTACTGTACTCTGATAGTTGTCTGGTCAATGTAACATTATTTTGACTTTCCTGGTTGTGAAGAAATTATTATGAAGCATTAAAAATCTCATCGTTAGTCGTAATGATCCAAAACACGTAATTATCTCCCATTACAATTATATCATTCGAACTGCTATATAATAGATGATGACATGAGATTAGGGTGATAAATTGTGTTTCTCTGTATCATTATACATGTATATTTCTTAAACTGTGAGCGTGATCTGAAGATTACAATAATTTTACAAAGTGAAACGAAATATTCTTTTTTCTATAGTAATTTATGAGACATCTGATTCCAATATATTTGAATAAAGGTATGCTGTATGATTTTAACAGACCTGTTGCTCTTCATGTTTTATAAGATGAAGCCGGGTGAGGAGAATGATAGATTTGTGATGTGTTTGCCCCCGCCAAACGTGACAGGGACTCTACACCTAGGTCACGCCCTCACCTGCTCCATCCAGGATGCTATTGCTCGGTGGTAGGTATTACAGTTACTACAAAACCAGCATAAATTGTATTGAAATACAGTGGTAGAGACTTCATTGTAATGTTTGTGGCTGTAGACATAACATTATTGTATGTAAACTGTTCAGTGTTTGTGACTATGAACAATGTCTGTGTTGTATGTAAACTGTTCACTGTTTGTGACCATGAACAATGTCTGTGTTGTATGTAAACTGTTCAGTGTTTGTGACTATAAACAGGTCTGTGTTGTGTAGAAACTGTTCAGTGGTTGTGACTATAAATGATGTCTGTGTTGTATGTAAACTGTTCAATGTTTTTGACTGTGAAAAAAGCTTAGTTGTGTAAATACTGTTCAGTGTTTGTGACTGTAAAAATTCACTATTTTATATAAACTGTTCAATGTATATGACTACAAACAAGTCACTGTTGTATATAACCTGTTTAGTGTTTGTTATTGTAATTATGTCTGTGTTGTACGTAAACTCAACTGTCCTGTGTTCGTGACTATAAACAGGTCTGTGTTGTATGTAATCTGTGCAATATTTGTGACGATAAAGATGTTTGTGTTACATGTTAACTGTTCAATGTTTGTAGCTATAGACACATTGGTGCTGTGCATAAACTTTTCATTGTTTGTGACTGTGAAGTAGTCTGTATTGTATATAAACTGTGGCTATAAACAGGTCTATGTTGTATATAAACTTCTCAGAATTTGTGACTACAAAGTTAAGCAGGTCTGAGTTGTATATAAACTGTTAAATATTTATGACTATAAACAGGAACCGGATGAGAGGTCAGTCAGTGCTATGGATCCCAGGATGTGACCATGCAGGTATTGCCACACAAGTTGTTGTAGAAAAACGACTTGCTCGAGAGCGCAACATTACACGTCATGACATTGGCCGGGAACTCTTCATACAGGAGGTGTGGAAATGGAAACAAGAGTAGGTACAATGTAGTGGTGTAAGTTTTAATATTATCTATGTCTTAAGTTAGGGGGATAAACTTTCTAACCTTTATTTGATACACTTACAGAGACTAAAGTTATGTATATACATACAGTACAAATACAAACATTTTACCACAATTAATGACGTCACCATTGTGGGCGTAGCAACTACGCAAAACAATACAAATGTCAGACTGAGAACCGAAGAGGCAGTGATAAAATTCCTATCAACCTTACAACCGGATGGACTAAATATTCAACTATAATCATGGCCAGAGTAAAGTTTACTAAGAGGAAAATTATAGATAATAAGGATCAAATATGAAACCGAAACCAACTAAACACATATCGTGCATGAAGTGCAAAACGAAAGTAAGTACAATTTCTGCTTTAAAACGCCACATGAACACTAAACACAGTACCAGAGTTACTAAATACCAATGTCGGGTATGTATGCAGAGCTATAGCAGGAAGGATGTATCCATTAGACACATCAAACAACACCATCCTAATGAACTTGAGAATGAAAACAATCTGATACAACTTGAAACCTTTTCTCCAAGAAAATCAGCAAGCAAACCAACGACATGGACACCACCGTTCGAAGCTAGGAATACCAAGAAATCAATGGATTGTAGAAACGCAACTTTCAGGATAGTACCTGGTGGAAGTAAATACGTATCAACTCCAACTTTTCAACCCAGAATCAGTACACTGGAAGAAGATTTGTATCTCTCGTCCTCGGATGATGAGATTGAGCATCTACACAATGATAGACACTATTCCCTTTTTAATTATGTATCAGAAGAAACAGTTTTACATAATCAAAGTATTCTAGATCAAACCATATGTTTAGATGAGAAACCAGAACATCTACTTCAAGAAACTATTATGATACACAGTGTGTATGGCATCTTTCACACTACCTTGTAATTCAATTGATACTATGTCCATTATTAATTGTTCATGACGTAATATTTTCACACCGCAATGTTATACTTCAGTACCTGATAATCTGTATAAAATTGTCCTGATGACGTCCGCCTAGCGGTCGAAACATGTCGACAATGTGCCAATAATAAAGATAAACAGCCGTTCTTGGATGTTGAGAATCCTTTATTTTCACATTATGTTACCCACATCACAGGATCTCTAGTGAATACCATTGGGTATCCATCCAGGAACATTATCTCTTTCAACGACCTAAAGAGTGTTGGTTCTCTCTAATATTATTTTGGATTTTACCAAACTGAAACACAATTGGTCCCACTGTCACATAGAGCATATTGTGCTGTTAAACTCTAGGTGTAGAATTGAATATGATGTATCACTGTAAGTGAAATCTACAGGGTAAGGGGAGATAACTTGCTTATTGAGTTACAAGCTGATATATACCAGGTATATATTGATTATTAAGAAATGAAATGAACTGCATGCAATCATATTACAGGCAATACTGATAGTATAATCATGGTACTACACAGCTTACTTATGATGAACTCTACCCAGACTGTAGTTTTAAAAGATCTATCAGTTAACTCGTTTCACACCTGAGAATAGTTAGTGACGTTTACCAGAAGTATGTTTAACTTTTTCTACACCTTCGGACACTGGCATTTACCTGAAGTATATTTAATTTGTTCCGCACCTGTAAATACTGCCATTTATTTACCTGTAGTACGTTTAACTTGTTCCACACCTGTAAACACTGACATTCACCTGATGTATATTTAACATGTTCCACACCTGTAAACACTGACATTCACCTGATGTATATTTAACATGTTCCACACCTGTAAACACTGACATTCACCTGATGTTTATTAAACATGTTCCACACCTGTAAACACTGACATTCACCTGTAGTATATTTAACTTGTTCCACACCTGTAAACACTGACATTTACCTGGAGTATATTTATTCTTTGGAGCAACTGTTGGTAGCTGCATTAATTGTGTCTTGTAAATAAACCAAATCTGATGTTTGATATTAGTCGACCATCAGCCAATCTTTTTGATATGATTTTTTGTCTGTGTCATTAGAAAAGAGGACTCAATCCTGGAGCAGGTGAAGAAACTTGGGTCATCACTGGACTGGAGCCGATCTTGTTTCACCATGGACGAGGTCAGCATGGAGTTACCAGCATATCTCCTTCACTATATATACCCATCTATCACACCTGGTTGTATATCTTTCTGATAATTCCCTGTCCCTTGTAGATAGATACACAGTCTCAGTCATCCCCAAATTATCACCATTATAAATAATTCTATGTCTGCTCCCCTACTTTATCACCACACCATACATAATTATATAACCATTCTACCTTGTTCACCATCAAACCATAAATCATTATGTAAGTGTCCCCCACTCTCCACCCCACCTCCCTACTTCGCACCATTACACCATGTTAACTTATCAATGTTTCCTGTTTTCGTTGTCTGTTATAGAAACTGTCATCTGCAGTAACTGAGGCTTTTGTTCGTCTCCATGATGAAGGACTTATCTTTAGAAGTAAACGAATGGTCAACTGGTGCTGCCACCTTAAGTCTGCCATCTCTGACATTGAGGTTTGTGATCATAAAAAGCTTAAGGTCATCTGCTGTGATTTTTTAAGGAGAATCATATATGTGTATATATATACATGTATGTTGTATTTCAATGCTTACCATTCACTTAGGCTTAAATAGGCCTGTATTACTTATACTGGTGATTGATGTTAATTATGCGACCTATATATAGATGTTATGCAGACATTGACCTCTGACTTTTGTATAAATAATATTGCATTGACATTGAGCTCTGCCATTTGCATGTATATGATACTATGTTAGTAAATCTTGACCTCTGACCTGTATGAAAAGAGAGTCTTTTCTCTCAGTTTGATTTAAGATATTGGGAAAATAGTCACTCTAATTGTTATTTTTACACACTATATGTAATTATATTTTACCTCTGTGACCTATTTATTAACAGTTTTGAATATATATATTTTTTATACATTGATCCTTCTTATTTTGCTATTTATAGATTGAGCAACTTTCACTTGAAGGCCCAACCAAAATTAAACTGCCTGGATATGAAGAGGAATTAGAGATGGGAGTAATCACAACCTTCAACTATCCTGTTGTTGGATCAGGTTGGTAACAAGATCACAACCTTCTGTCCTGTTGTTGGATCAGGTTGGTAGGAAGATCACAACCTTCTGTCCTGTTGTTGGATCAGGTTGGTAGGAAGATCACAACCTTCTGTCCTATTGTTGGATCAGGTTGGTAGGAAGATCACAACCTTCTGTCCTATTGTTGGATCAGGTTGGTAGGAAGATCACAACCTTCTGTCCTATTGTTGGATCAGGTTGGTAGGAAGATCACAACCTTCTGTCCTATTGTTGGATCAGGTTGGTAACAAGATCACAACCTTCTGTCCTATTGTTGGATCAGGTTGGTAGGAATATCACAACCTTCTGTCCTGTTGTTGGATCAGGTTGGTAGGAAGATCACAACCTTCTGTCCTGTTGTTGGATCAGGTTGGTAGGAAGATCCAATGTGACATTAATCTTTCGTTTTACCATCTTCTGGTATGAGACTTTTATGAAGACTTCAAGTTTTGATGGAGACATTTTCAAGGATAGTTTTTCTGATGAAAAAAGAGGTGGTCTCTGTGTGGTTTTTGTTTTTTTGCAATTTTCCACCAAATAGCCATTCTATGATCAAGAAACAAGCTAAAATTCTTATTTTTGGGTCTGAAAAATCTAGGAAAGCAGTGACCAGGTCAAAATTCACAAATTTGAAATCTGTGATTTGTGGTAATGATTCTTGCAAAATTTAGTTGAAATCCACCAAAGACTTCCAGTGTTATACTCAAGAGAAGTACCTTAGCAACCAGAAAATATTGAAATTGTTGTCAAGTATGCTGTCCAAAAAATTGTAGACCAGAAGTGGAATTTAAGTTGTCTGTTTTCATTTTATAAGTACTACTTTAGATGGAAAAGTATATAACAAGACAAAAGTTCAAGATTTTATCTTGGAATTAATTATATATTGAGTTATGTCTTACTTCTGGTCAAAATATCAGAGAAGTACATACATAAGTAGTGTATTGTAACTATAGTGTGTTTTTATTCAGTTCATATTGCCTTAGAAGTTAGAAGTGTCATCAAGCATTTTTTTTTTAGTTGCTACATTCAACTTCCATTACAATATTAAATCAGGTCCATTAATTAACAAAAGAGATAAAAATTACTGTTCAAAATATTGTTTAGAAAAGTGCACTAACTAATGAAATAATAGTTTTCTGTTTTTGCACTGTATCCAGGGCATCATCATAGCTCAAGTGTTATTACTCTGTAACCTAATGACATTAATTCCAGATGAGGTCATTGCTGTGTCCACTACCCGGCCAGAGACCATGCTAGGTGATACAGCCGTGGCTGTCCACCCTGATGACCCACGCTACACGCACCTCCATGGAGCCCAAGTTTGGAACCCCTTGAGCAACAGGAGTTTTCCTGTGGTCTGTGATACTTATGTAGATCAGACCTTTGGTACAGGTAAAGAGCCCCCTGGGGAATCAGAGTTTCCTTGTGGTCTGTGATACTTACGTAGATCAGACCTTTGGTACAGGTAAAGAGCCCCCTGGGGAATCAGAGTTTCCTTGTGGTCTGTGATACTTATGTAGATCAGACCTTTGGTACAGGTAAAGAGCCCCATAGGGAATCAGAGTTTCCTTGTGGTCTGTGATACTTATGTAGATCAGACCTTTGGTACAGGTAAAGAGCCCCCTGGGGAATCAGAGTTTCCTTGTGGTCTGTGATACTTATGTAGATCAGACCTTTGGTACAGGTAAAGAGCCCCCTGGGGAATCAGAGTTTCCTTGTGGTCTGTGATACTTACGTAGATCAGACCTTTGGTACAGGTAAAGAGCCCCATAGGGAATCAGAGTTTCCTTGTGGTCTGTGATACTTACGTAGATCAGACCTTTGGTACAGGTAAAGAGCCCCATAGGGAATCAGAGTTTCCTTGTGGTCTACGATATTTCCATGTATGTGATATTTCCTTGTGATGTGTGATACTTATGTCGATGAGGACCTTTGGTACAGGTAAAAAGCCCCCTGGGGAACCAGATTTTCCCTGTGGTCTGTGATATTTCCTTGTTGTGTGTGATACCTATGTTGATCAGACTTTTGGTACAGGTAAAGAGCCCCCTTGAGAACCAGAGTTTCCCTATGATCTGTGAAATAATATGTGCTATTAAAATCACTCAGGGATCTCATGTTTCTATTACTGATATATCTGTGTCATTGAAATGACAGGTGCTGTTAAAATCACCCCTGCACATGATCCAAATGATACAGAAATTGGTCAACGACACAATCTCCTCAGTATCAATGTCATAGATGACGAAGGGAAGATGGAGAATGTTCCTGATAAGTACCATGGCATGAAAAGGTTCCATGCTCGGGCTGCTGTCATACAGGATCTTAAAGATGAAGGACTCTACAAGGACACACAGCCCCACTCAATGGTCCTGCCCTTTTGTAGGTAAGGCCAAAACTTGTCAGTGGGGGCATACATTATGGTTCTACTCCTCCATAGGTAAGGTCAAAGTTCATCAGCCAGTGGGAAAATATAATGGACCTAGTCTTCTGTAGGTAAGGTCAAAGTTCATGAACCAGTGGGATATATAATAGTCTTACCTCTATGGATTAGTCAACAGTTTGTCAGAAAATCGGGACATTTCTTGAGTAGATCAAATTTAATCAACATAAGATCAAAAATCATGGACAGAAGGCTGTATTTATGTTGGCGTAGAAATTCCACTTCATTAAACACTAACATGTGCTGTTCAGTGATGAAAAAACAACTAGTTTTTATATACATTGAAAACAATTCTGATTAGTTCTTCAGATGTATATATCATATATATATATATATATATATATAAAACCAAAATATCAAGATATTAATATAATATATAATATTATATATGTATAAAATATCAATATATATATGAGCATAAATATATATTGTTAGTTTTTTGTATTCTAATGTAGCATTTTTTAACATTACCCAAAGATCTATACATTTTTAAATTAGAGAGTTTAGTCAGTCATCTGATTTTATTTGCCAATACACTCTGTTACACCAAACATTACAAATATTTGATCCAATTAACATCCTTCTGGTTTATTATCAGTTTATGAAGTAATTATCTAAGACAATTCCTAAGAAGTGATCTAAAGTAGATTTAACTCTTTTTCTACCTGTTAAATCTTGAGTCTAGAAAGAATGACCACAGTTTTACTGATACAATCTTGTGTTACAGTCGATCCAAGGATGTGATTGAACCTCGTCTTAAGGACCAGTGGTTTCTTAACTGTAAAGAGATGGGGGAGCAAGCCATCAAGGTAGGTCTTACACTGTAGGTAAAACAGAACAGGTGATTTAGGTAGGTCTAACACTGTAGGTATAACAGAACAGGTGATTTAGGTAGGTCTAACACTGTAGGTATAACAGAACAGGTGATTGAGGTAGGTTTAACACTGTAGGTATAACAGAACAGATGATTGAGGTAGGTCTAACACTGTAGGTATAACAGAACAGATGATTGAGGTAGGTTTAACACTGTAGGTATAACAGAACAGGTGATTGAGGTAGGTCTAACACTGTAACAGAACAGGTGATTGAGGTAGGTCAAACACTGTAGGTATGACAGAACAGGTGATTGAGGTAGGTCTAACACTGTAGGTTTACTAGAACAGGTGATTGAGGTAGGTCTAACACTTTAACAGAACAGGTGATTGAGGTAGGTCTAACACTGTAGATATAACAGAACAGGTGATTGAGGTAGGTCTAACACTGTAACAGAACAGGTGATTGAGGTAGGTCTAACACTGTAGGTATAACAGAACAGGTGATTGAGGTAGGTCTAACACTAGGTATAACAGAACAGGTGATTGAGGTAGGTCTAACACTGTAGTTATAACAGAACAGTTGATTGAGGTAGGTCTAACACTTTAACAGAACAGGTGATTGAGGTAGGTCTAACACTGTAGGTATAACAGAACAGGTGATTGAGGTAGGTCTAACACTGTAACAGAACAAGTGATTGAGGTAGGTCTAATATGGTAGGTATAACAGAACAGGTGACTGAGGTAGGTCTAACATTGTAGGTATAACAGAACAGGTGATTGAGGTAGGTCTAACACTGTAGTTATAACAGAACAGGTGATTGAGGTAGGTATAACAGAACAGGTGATTGAGATAGGTCTAACTCTGTAGGTATAACAGAACAGATGATTGAGGTAGGTATAACAGAACAGGTGATTGAGATAGGTCTAACTCTGTAGGTATAACAGAACATGTGCACCAGGTATGTCCCAGTACTGTACTAACATTGATTGTTGCTTTCTTCCACAGAGTGTTAGGACTGGCAAACTAAAGTTAATCCCGGCATCAGCAGAAAAGTCCTGGTATCACTGGCTTAATGACTGTCAGTAAGTATATTCATTACTTACCTTTATAATTTGGTAGTGTAGTAATGATTCGTTGACCTAACATAAGTGTAATTGTAAATGTGATATCACAACAACCATATTATCCTACGACACTTATTTATTTTCTGTGTACATTGATATTGTGCTGCTGAGAAAATGTTTGATGTGGTTACAGAGACTGGTGCTTGTCACGTCAGATTTGGTGGGGTCACAGAGTACCAGCTTACCTGGTCACCATAAGTAACCAGGTAGGTACCTGTCATGTCAGATCTGGTAGGGTCACAGAGTACCAGCTTACCTGGTCACCATAAGTAACCAGGTAGGTACCTGTCACGTCAGATCTGGTAGGGTCACAGAGTACCAGCTTACCTGGTCACCATAAGTAACCAGGTAGGTACCTGTCACGTCAGATCTGGTAGGGTCACAGAGTACCAGCTTACCTGGTCACTGTTAGTAACCAGGTAAGTATCTATCACATCAGTGTATGGGCAGGCCTAGACTCAATAACAAAGCAGCTTCAAGCTGCACACTTTATAAAGTTATGAACTTGATTGCTTTTTCATGTCCAGACCATAACATTATTAATGCCATTTGTTTCTGAACTATGACCTCTATAGCAGATGCCTTTTTATATCAGAGTAAAAATACAGGTAGTAGAGCCAATGCTGTTGTGTTGCTTGGATGGATGTCAGGTTCCTTAACTCTTTAGCTGGATACTCAAAGTATGCAGTGTGATCGATCTGTAAGGAAAATCAGGCAAAAGAATATCAACCCACAACAGCATCAGAGTAGGTCGTTTGAATTTATTTCATGTCTATTGACCCGTCTGGCTCTAAGCGGGCTTCTTTAGGATCACTTAGGGTGAAACCAGTTGATAGATATGGAATAAATTGAAACAACCTGCTCGGATGCTGCTGTGGTTGATATATTTTTCCTTGACAAGAGAGTGATACTTTTTCTTAATAACATGCAGCCCAATACAGAGGGAGTTTGGATCAGTGGACGAACAGAGAAAGAGGCTCGAGCCAAAGCTGCTGTTCACCTGGGAGTGTCACCTGATTTATTGTGTCTACACCAAGGTAATATAGGAGTGTCACCTGATTTATTGTGTCTACACCAAGGTAATATAGAAATGTCACCTGATTTACTGTGTCTACACCAAGGTAATATAGGGGTGTCACCTGATTTATTGTGTCTACACCAAGGTAATATAGGAATGTCACCTGATTTATTGTGTCTACACCAAGGTAATATAGAAATGTCACCTGATTTACTGTGTCTACACCAAGGTAATATAGGGGTGTCACCTGATTTATTGTGTCTACACCAAGGTTATATAGGAGTGTCACCTGATTTACTGTGTCTACACCAAGGTAATATAGGGGTGTCACCTGATTTATTGTGTCTACACCAAGGTAATATAGGGGTGTCACCTGATTTATTGTGTCTACACCAAGGTAATATAGGAATGTCACCTGATTTATTGTGTCTACACCAAGGTAATATAGAAATGTCACCTGATTTACTGTGTCTACACCAAGGTAATATAGGGGTGTCACCTGATTTATTGTGTCTACACCAAGGTAATATAGAAATGTCACCTGATTTACTGTGTCTACACCAAGGTAATATAGGAGTGTCACCTGATTTATTGTGTCTACACCAAGGTAATATAGGAGTGTCACCTGATTTATTGTGTCTACACCAAGGTAATATAGGAGTGTCACCTGATTTATTGTGTCTACACCAAGGTAATATAGGAGTGTCACCTGATTTATTGTGTCTACACCAAGGTAATATAGGAGTGTCACCTGATTTACTGTGTCTACACCAAGGTAATATAGGAGTGTCACCTGATTTACTGTGTCTACACCAAGGTAATATAGGAGTGTCACCTGATTTATTGTGTCTACACCAAGGTAATATAGGAGTGTCACCTGATTTATTGTGTCTACACCAAGGTAATATAGGAGTGTCACCTGATTTATTGTGTCTACACCAAGGTAATATAGGAGTGTCACCTGATTTACTGTGTCTACACCAAGGTAATATAGGAGTGTCACCTGATTTACTGTGTCTACACCAAGGTAATATAGGAGTGTCACCTGATTTATTGTGTCTACACCAAGGTAATATAGGAGTGTCACCTGATTTATTGTGTCTACACCAAGGTAATATAGGGGTGTCACCTGATTTATTGTGTCTACACCAAGGTAATATAGGAATGTCACCTGATTTATTGTGTCTACACCAAGGTAATATAGGGGTGTCACCTGATTTACTGTGTCTACACCAAGGTAATATAGGAGTGTCACCTGATTTACTGTGTCTACACCAAGGTAATATAGGAGTGTCACCTGATTTATTGTGTCTACACCAAGGTAATATAGGAATGTCACCTGATTTATTGTGTCTACACCAAGGTAATATAGGAATGTCACTTGATTTATTGTGTCTACACCAAGGTAATATAGGAATGTCACCTGATTTACTGTGTCTACACCAAGGTAATATAGGAGTGTCACCTGATTTACTGTGTCTACACCAAGGTAATATAGGAGTGTCACCTGATTTACTGTGTCTACACCAAGGTAATATAGGAGTGTCACCTGATTTATTGTGTCTACACCAAGGTAATATAGGGGTGTCACCTGATTTACTGTGTCTACACCAAGGTAATATAGGAATGTCACCTGATTTACTGTGTCTACACCAAGGTAATATAGGACCCTGATTTATTTTCTATATATACTTATCAACCAAGGTCAATGTGTCTACACCAAGGTTATAGTGTCTACACCAAGGTAATATAGTGTCAGTATTGATTCACACTTTAGGAATGTAATTTACTAGGTAATATGGACTGTGCAAAACAATAGAAACATTAAAGACAATGTATACAAAGTGCTGTTAGGATCAAGAATTTGTCCAATTACAGTGATAGTAAAACTGTCCTTATCATCATCATTCACTGAATTCACAATAAAGTTTACGTTTTTTTACCAAACTTAAGACTATTGTTTATAATTTCAGATGAAGATGTACTAGATACGTGGTTCTCCTCAGCTTTGTTTCCGTTCTCCTCACTGGGCTGGCCCACAAAGGTACGTAGTTCTCCTCTGCCTTATTTCCGTCCTTTTATCTTGGCTGGTCCACACAGGTACATGGTTCTCCTCAGACTTATATCCATGTTACTCACCATGCTGGCCCACACAGGTACATGGTTCTCCTCTGACTTATATCCATGTTACTCACTGTGCTGGCCCACACAGGTACATGTTTCTCCTCTGACTTATATCCATGTTACTCACCGTGCTGGCCCACACAGGTACATGGTTCTCCTCTGACTTATATCCATGTTACTCACCGTGCTGGCCCACACAGGTACATGGTTCTCCTCTGACTTATATCCATGTTACTCACCGTGCTGGCCCACACAGGTACATGGTTCTCCTCTGACTTATATCCATGTTACTCACCGTGCTGGCCCACACAGGTACATGGTTCTCCTCTGACTTATATCCATGTTACTCACTGTGCTGGCCCACACAGGTACATGGTTCTCCTCAGACTTATATCCATGTTACTCAACGTGCTGGCCCACACAGGTACATGGTTCTCCTCAGACTTATATCCATGTTACTCACCATGCTGGCCCACACAGGTACATGGTTCTCCTCTGTCTTATTTCCGTCCTTTTATCTTGGCTGGTCCACGCAGGTACACAATTATTTACTGACTTATATCCATGTTACTCACCGTGCTGGCCCACACAGGTACATGGTTCTCCTCTGACTTATATCCATGTTACTCACCGTGCTGGCCCACACAGGTACATGGTTCTCCTCTGACTTATATCCATGTTACTCACCGTGCTGGCCCACACAGGTACATGGTTCTCCTCTGACTTATATCCATGTTACTCACCGTGCTGGCCCACACAGGTACATGGTTCTCCTCTGACTTATATCCATGTTACTCACCGTGCTGGGCCACACGGGTACATGGTTCTCCTCTGACTTATATCCATGTTACTCACCGTGCTGGCCCACACAGGTACATGGTTCTCCTCTGACTTATATCCATGTTACTCACCGTGCTGGCCCACACAGGTACATGGTTCTCCTCTGACTTATATCCATGTTACTCACCGTGCTGGCCCACACAGGTACATGGTTCTCCTCTGACTTATATCCATGTTACTCACCGTGCTGGCCCACACAGGTACATGGTTCTCCTCTGACTTATATCCATGTTACTCACCGTGCTGGCCCACACAGGTACATGGTTCTCCTCTGACTTATATCCATGTTACTCACCATGCTGGGCCACACGGGTACATGGTTCTCCTCAGACTTATATCCATGTTACTCACCATGCTGGGCCACACGGGTACATGGTTCTCCTCTGACTTATATCCATGTTACTCACCGTGCTGGCCCACACAGGTACATGGTTCTCCTCTGACTTATATCCATGTTACTCACCGTGCTGGGCCACACGGGTACATGGTTCTCCTCAGAAGTATGTCCATGTTACTCACCATGCTGGCCCACACAGGTACATGGTTCTTCTCTGACTTATATCCATGTTACTCACCGTGCTGGCCCACACAGGTACATGGTTCTCCTCTAACTTATATCCATGTTACTCACCGTGCTGGTCCACACGGGTATATGGTTCTCCTCAGAAGTATGTCCATGTTACTCACCGTGCTGGGCCACATGGGTACATGGTTCTCCTCTAACTTATATCCATGTTACTCACCGTGCTGGCCCACACAGGTACATGGTTCTCCTCTGACTTATATCCATGTTACTCACTGTGCTGGCCCACACAGGTACATGGTTCTCCTCAGACTTATATCCATGTTACTCACCGTGCTGGCCCACACAGGTACATGGTTCTCCTCAGACTTATATCCATGTTACTCACCATGCTGGCCCACACAGGTACATGGTTCTCCTCTGTCTTATTTCCGTCCTTTTATCTTGGCTGGTCCACGCAGGTACACAATTATTTACTGACTTATATCCATGTTACTCACCGTGCTGGCCCACACAGGTACATGGTTCTCCTCTGACTTATATCCATGTTACTCACCGTGCTGGTCCACACGGGTATATGGTTCTCCTCAGAAGTATGTCCATGTTACTCACCGTGCTGGCCCACACAGGTACATGGTTCTCCTCTAACTTATATCCATGTTACTCACCATGCTGGGCCACATGGGTACATGGTTCTCCTCTAACTTATATCCATGTTACTCACCGTGCTGGCCCACACAGGTACATGGTTCTCCTCTAACTTATATCCATGTTACTCACCGTGCTGGCCCACACAGGTACATGGTTCTCCTCTAACTTATATCCATGTTACTCACCGTGCTGGCCCACACAGGTACATGGTTCTCCTCTAACTTATATCCATGTTACTCACCGTGCTGGTCCACACAGATACATGGTTCTCCTCAGAAGTATGTCCATGTTACTCACCGTGCTGGCCCACACAGGTACATGGTTCTCCTCTAACTTATATCCATGTTACTCACCGTGCTGGCCCACACAGGTACATGGTTCTCCTCTAACTTATATCCATGTTACTCACCGTGCTGGCCCACACAGGTACATGGTTCTCCTCTAACTTATATCCATGTTACTCACCGTGCTGGTCCACACAGATACATGGTTCTCCTCAGAAGTATGTCCATGTTACTCACCGTGCTGGGCCACACGGGTACATGGTTCTCCTCAGAAGTATATCCATGTTACTCACCGTGCTGGGCCACACGGGTACATGGTTCTCCTCTGACTTATATCCATGTTACTCACCGTGCTGGCCCACACAGGTACATGGTTCTCCTCTGACTTATATCCATGTTACTCACCGTGCTGGCCCACACAGGTACATGGTTCTCCTCTGACTTATATCCATGTTACTCACCGTGCTGGCCCACACAGGTACATGGTTGTCCTCAGAAGTATGTCCATGTTACTCACCGTGCTGGCCCACACAGGTACATGGTTCTCCTCAGAAGTATATCCATGTTACTCACCGTGCTGGCCCACACAGGTACATGGTTCTCCTCAGAAGTATATCCATGTTACTCACCGTGCTGGCCCACACAGATACAGGGTTGGTTATATCTTTCTTTTACACCATCATATTATATGCCAGTCATTTCACTGTCACCTGTCAGTTAACAGGGTCTTTTCTAGTCTGTTCCATCTGTGATAAAATTCTACTTAGTATATGTCATGTTTTATACGTCTGTTATCAGAGAGAGACAATCCTATTGCTATTCTGCCAATAGTAGAGGTTTACTGACAACACAGAGTAATTCTGATATACATGTTGAGCTTCAAATTTCAAAGCAAAGTTGAGTTATCTCTATTCCAATTCATATAGAGTTAAATTTAATTTAAAATTTGAGAGCTCAGAATTCATGAAGCCAGTGACTTGGGAAATTCCATCGACCTTGCAGGGTCAGGCACTTTCATGATGAATTCATGGCCAATCAAGGTCTTTGATGTCATAAAGATCATCATCCATGCTAGCTATGCAAATGAGAAGTTTGTGGATGGTATATTGTGGTTATACTACACAAGTTACTGTCACTGACCAATCAAATGTCAAGTAACATCTCCATGAATTAAAGTTGTACTTTTCTGTTGTTAGAGTACATGTGCTGTATAAATTTGTTACACTGATATCTGGTTATGTTATGACACATATGTTTGCTACAAAGTAAGATTTATTTTATCTTTGTATGATTATTATACACCACCAGAGGCGGTCGTATATTGGCGTCATCTTCTTCGTCTGTCCGTCCGTCCATTTCTTGTGAACACAACTCCTCCTAAACTCATCATCAGATTTTCATGAATCTTGCTCAATGTCACTACTACAATCGGTAGATGTGCATGAAGGAGCGATTTTTTGGTTCGTTAATTTTTGTAAGATTTACGCCATTTTCAACTTTGTATCTGTAGCTTGCTCATAGTGGAGCCTTGTGAACACAACTCCTCCTAAAATGATCATCAGATTTTCACAAAACTTGCTCAATGTCACTACTACAATGGGCAGATGTGCATGAAGGAGCGATTTTACGGTTCATTGATTTTCGTAAGATTTATGCCATTTTATCTTGATCTTTATGTTTTGTTGCAGGGTATATTGTGTCCACAACACTCTTGTCTACCTGTAGCTGCTGTATTTCTGTAACTGTACATCTGTGTCAAATTTGTAGCAATAAATCAATCTGCCTCCTTCTACATTGTATAGACTGCTGATTTAGAGAGATTCTATCCCACAAACCTCCTTGAGACAGGAAGTGACATTATGTTTTTCTGGGTGGCACGAATGGTGATGCTTGGGTATAAACTAACTGGTCAACTACCCTTTACAGAGGTAGGTAAAAATAGTTTACAGATAAAAGTGTAAAACAAACACATTAAGAAATATAAGTATCCTTTATACATAAATCTTTAATTAGATAAATGCATTTCTGTGAGACTAAATGAAGTCATGAACAGACAAGCTATGCTGTTTTCCATTTACAAATTATGTTATTTTTCTAAACTGTAAATAATGTCATATTTCTGTGTAGGTTTTACTTCATGGAACGTTACGCGACGCTCGCGGTAGAAAGATGAGTAAATCTCTCGGAAATGTGATAGATCCGATGGATGTTATTAATGGCATCTCATTAGAGGTAAGTAAGATTATGATGTAGATGTCCTTTAATAGGTAACTTCCTTTGTGTGTGTTTTTGTTTTTAGTGTCCAGTTGATATGTAAACAAAATGATAAAATCAGAAACACACAGATTAGGCCTGTACATGTTATTAGTCTAGTGATGTAATACAAATTATAACAGAACAGTTTTGTTTTACTTGTGCTTGTTGGGGCCTGGATTTACTGCACTAGATTACTTATCTAAAACATAGTTACTCCTGCTCAACCGTTATACAAGGATGGCAGATTATTTAGATCTTGTAAACTCCTTACCAAAGGCCACTCATTCCAACAGACCATGTGGAACTTGTTTATAAACCCCTACCCAGTGACACTAACTCTTACAGACTGTATCAATCTTAGATATAACCCCCTACCTGTGGCCTCCCATCCTATAGACAAGATCTGCCTATATCCCTCTTACCCAGGGCCTCCCACTCCTATAGACTAGACAGATCTGCCTATGTCCCTCCTACCCAGGGCCTACCATCCTACAGACTAGATCTGCCTATGTCCCTCCTACCCAGGGCCTCCCACTCCTACAGACTAGATCTGCCTATGTCCCTCCTACCCAGGGCCTACCATCCTTCAGACTAGATCTGCCTATGTCCCTCCTACCCAGGGCCTCCCACTCCTACAGACTAGACGGATCTGCCTATGTCCCTCCTACCCAGGACCTCCCACTCCTACAGACTAGATCTGCCTATGTCCCTCCTACCCAGGGCCTCCCACTCCTACAGACTAGATCTGCCTATGTCCCTCCTACCCAGGGCCTCCCACTCCTACAGACTAGATCTGCCTATGTTCCTCCTACCCAGGATCTCCCACTCCTACAAACACCGAGGATCTTGCATATGATCTGTATTGAATATTACAATTCATACTTCATTTTTGTTATTTTTAAGTTGTTTATTTTTTTATATTAAGGATCTCCAACAGCAGGTAAAACAGAGTAACCTTGACCCTTCAGAGGTCACCAAGGCTCAGGAAGGTCAAGCTAAGGATTATCCACGTGGCATTCAAACATGTGGTACTGATGGGCTGCGATTTGGGCTCTGTTCCGTTGATTATAGTGGTAAGATTATCAACACGTAGTACTGACAGACTGTGATACAGGCTTTGTTCCGTTGATTATAGTGGTAAGGTTATAGACATGAGGTGCTGACAGCTGTGACTTGGACAGTTCCATCATAGTGGTAAGATTATAGACATGAGGTGCTGACAGCTGTGACTTGGACAGTTCCATCATAGTGGTAAGATTATAGACATGAGGTGCTGACAGCTGTGATTTGGACTGTTCCATCATAGTGGTAAGGTTATAGACATGAGGTGCTGACAGCTGTGATTAGGACTGTTCCATCATAGTGGTAAGGTTATAGACATGAGGTGCTGACAGCTGTGACTTGGACAGTTCCATCATAGTGGTAAGATTATAGACATGAGGTGCTGACGGCTGTGACTTGGACAGTTCCATCATAGTGGTAAGATTATAGACATGAGGTGCTGACGGCTGTGATTTGGACTGTTCCATTATAGTGGTAAGATTATAGACATGAGATGCTGATGGCTGTGATTTGGACTGTGTATGTGTATGTTCCAAGTCTATTATCATGTTATGATATTGTATATAAAAGTTACAGAGTGTAGCCTACATCACCTGTTGTTTCGTTGTAGCCCAGGCAGTAAACCTTGACATGAGTTATATAGAGAGCAAGTATCGAATGTGTAACAAGATCTGGCAGGGCTTTCGTTTCTTTACATCCAACCTTGGACATGACTTCACTCCAGCAGTTAATTTTAAGGTAAGATGTGTATTTTTGTTTTATATTCTGGAGTTAACAATTTATTCCACACTCAGTTGAATGAGAATACCAAAATGCTTTAGAGAACTATCGGACATGAATTGCTATGACCATGGATAATGGTTTTTATCTTTGATCTCTACAGTCAGATGTGATGGTGACCAACTTGATGGACCAATGGATTCTCAGTCGACTGAGTCACATGGTTATATCATGTGATCAGTACTTTATGGACTATAAACTTCATGGTGTGACAGAGTGCCTACAGACATTCTGGATCAATGATTTCTGTGATATATATCTGGTATTGTATTGCATTGTGTTGTATTGTATCATATTGTATGGTTTATTCACTTAAAACCTTACAGCTCATAAGTGCATTAGTACAATACACAAGACTGCAGTGTACATGTACAATATATGGCTATTATAACATATACAAAATTTTCAAAGAAACCACAGACTTTCTTCTTGAACATTAATTGATCAATAAGTGATAATTATGTAAACAGAGGTTTTTCTGTAAAATCATTGCAAGAAAAAATAGAGAAATATTTGTATCTTTGGCAATCCAGGTATAATATGCAGGCCATCTTGGCTTCTTGTCTGTATCTTTAAGCACTCTGTATAATTTTGCTCACTTGACTGATAAGACTCATGGGCCTCTTGTTTATATTCTCAGGAGTCGGTGAAATCCATACTCATGGAAAACAATAGGGACTCAGATACAGCCAGACAGGTGATGTGTTTCTGTATAGATACATTCCTGCGGGCACTCAGTCCTTTTATGCCATACCTTACAGAGGAACTGTACCAGCGTTTACCTACAGCAGCTGACCGTCCTGAAAGTGTGTGCATCAGTCAATACCCATCAAAAAAGCAGGTGTGTTATCTCATATTTTTATGCTCCCCAAAGGGAGGGCAGTCACCACTTTGTCCACCAAGCCATCTGTCCGTCCGTATGTCCATCTGTCCATCTATCATAATTTTAATCTCAATAAGGAGAAGTGTTCAAGAACCATAACTCTTTTTTGCATAATAAGTCCTTTTGGAACTAGCATTTATTTGGGGAGCATCCATAGGTTCTATCAATTCTCTTGTTATTTTTTATATTTCCCCACCCCCCAACTTAGGTAAGTGAGTTATACATAGTAATCACTTTGTCTGTACATCTGTACTTGAGTGCATGTATGAGTGCAAACCTTGGGTACAAGATATCTCATGAACACCTGATTTGGTTTGTATTTGTACTATCAATGCCTATACCTGATTACATTTTTGTGGTCATTGAACGAGGTTAAAGGTCAGAGGTCATCCTTGGCTTCTTTATAACGATGGGGAGTATGTCTGTGTGAACCCTTGTTCACTTTGTTTTTATTCAGTAAGGTGAAACTGATTTTGTATAATTTTCTCCGCGGCTTTTTCTTGGAAGAAGGGAGGTAATGTAGTTTAAAGGAAGGATCTTTTTTTTTAGCATATTATTAATTATGTGTTCCTCCACTGATATACTTACAGTATAAAGTAAAATGAGCATTCTCTTATGATTAAACAATATCTTTCTTTACATATTAATGGGAATGAATCTATGTACCTCTACTAGTATAAGTTAAAAATTGTTTACGGGTAGAAGAAATTTACCTTTAATATTTAGTATGGGATTTCATGGCCACATGAGACTTAATATTTTGTAAAATAAAAACGAAAAAGAAAAATAGAAAGAAAGAAAAAACTAATTTTCTAATATTTCAATCGCAGAAAAACTACAGGAAAAACGGGGGCAATACATGCCTCTTTGTCCTTTTCTTGTTTTTGAATGCCTGTAAAGTTATGTTACTTTTGTACCTGATGTTGATGTAAGAGGGACTGATATTGTAGGTAGCCTTCCATCAGGAGAAACTAGAGGAGGCAGTGACTGTTGTCAAGTTGTTAAAGAGTGTTATATTATCTGTGGGGACCCGCTACAGCATCAAGGCCAAAACTTTACCAGGTAATGTATTACACACTTGACCAGAATATCAACAGGAAGGATAGGGACCATAAAACATGGCTGGATTAGAGTATAGAGAGAATTTAAATCAGGTAGAGTTTAGTAAATGAAGATAAATAAGAATCCAGAACAAGTCATTTGACAAAATTTTGGATAGGACAGAGTTTGATTTAGACAGAGTCCACTAATCCAAAACAAATCATTTTCCATGTTTAGACACATTCCACTAATCCAGACCATTTGGAAAGAGCAGAGTTCAGTTAAGAGTCCAAAAACTTGATATAGTATGAAACACTGTTTTTTGTCCCTAGTGATGCTACAAGTGACAGATGAAGGATTACTACAAACACTATCCGAAGATTCTCTGCTGAAGACTTTGCTGGTTTTGTCGAAAGCCAAATCTGTTGACTTCCTCTCACCTGACCAAGTTCCTCCTAAGGGCAGTCTTGTCATGTCCCCACATCATCAGGTTCAGATCTTCTTCATGATAAAGGTACAAAGCACAAACTGACAACATAAAGATGATGCACTGTGAGGAAATGTTGTTAAGGCAATGGATTTGGTGGTAATAATTTCTTCTTAAGTACTATGAATTACCTTTACTATGGTTATTTTGTAGGGTCTTACCATATTCTTTGTGGTATATGGAGGTAGAACAGATTCTGTAAGGCACTTTTGTATGTTGTAGGACATGATTGACCCAAGGAAGGAAATCACACGTCTGGAAAATAAACTAAATAGAATAGAGAAGACCATGAAAAACAAGTTAAGAAGGAAAAAAGAAGATCACACTGACATTGTAAGTTGATTGTAAAGAAAAAAACTAAATTAATTGACAGATTCGTTCAGTACATTTTCAATGCAAACAGGAATAAGGAAGATTTGGTGCCAAAGAAACAAAATTAATTGCAAATTGGAACTTTACTTGTGATCATTCCTAGATACTTTGAACACATATTCTGTAATTGTACTTGATGTAATGCAATAAGACTCTAATGCATTTTTGCTTTTCGGCAAATTAACACAAGTAACTGCAATTAATAAAATCATGTTTAAGTGCAATACTTTCATTTTATACATTTCATATTAAGTGACTTTTCCTATACATTTCAGAATAAGTGACTTTTCCTATACATTTCATATTAAGTAACTTTTCCTATACATTTCATATTAAGTGACTTTTCCTATACATTTCATATTAAGTGACTTTTCCTATACATTTCATATTAAGTGACTTTTCCTATACATTTCATATTAAGTGACTTTTCCTATACATTTCAGAATAAGTGACTTTTCCTATACATTTCATATTAAGTAACTTTTCCTATACATTTCATATTAAGTGACTTTTCCTATACATTTCAGAATAAGTGACTTTTCCTATACATTTCATATTAAGTGACTTTTCCTATACATTTCATATTAAGTAACTTTTCCTATACATTTCAGAATAAGTGACTTTTCCTATACATTTCATATTAAGTGACTTTTCTTATACATTTCATATTAAGTGACTTTTCCAATACATTTCATATTAAGTGACTTTTCTTATACATTTCAGAATAAGTGACTTTTCCTAACATTTCATATTAAGTGACTTTTCTTATACATTTCAGAATAAGTGACTTTTCCTATACATTTCAGAATAAGTGACTTTTCCTATACATTTCAGAATAAGTGACTTTTCCTATACATTTCATATTAAGTGACTTTTCCTATACATTTCATATTAAGTGACTTTTCCTATACATTTCAGAATAAGTGACTTTTCAGAATACATTTCAGAATAAGTGACTTTTCCTATACATTTCAGATTAAGTAACTTTTCCTATACATTTCAGTAAGACTTTTCCTATACATTTCAGAATAAGTGACTTTTCCTATACATTTCAGACATTTCAAGTGACTTTTCCTATACATTTCATACATTTCATATTAAGTGACTTTTTCCTATACATTTCTATACATTTCATACATAAGTGACTTTTCCTATACATTTCATATTAAGTGACTTTTCCTATACATTTCATATTAAGTGACTTTTCCTATACATTTCATACATTTCATATTAAGTGACTTTTCCTATACATTTCAGAATAAGTGACTTTTCCTATACATTTCATTTCCTATACATTTCAGAATAAGTGACTTTTCCTATACATTTCATATTAAGTGACTTTTCCTATACCTATACATTTCATAATAAGTGACTTTTCCTATACATTTCAGATTAAGTGACTTTTCCTATACATTTCATATTAAGTGACTTTTCCTATACATTTCTTTTCCTATACATTTCAAGTGACTTTTCCTATACATTTCATATTAAGTGACTTTTCCTATACATTTCATATTAAGTGACTTTTCCTATACATTTCAGAATAAGTGACTTTTCCTATACATTTCAGAATAAGTGACTTTTCCTATACATTTCATATTAAGTGACTTTTCCTATACATTTCATATTAAGTGACTTTTCCAATACATTTCATATTAATTAAGTGACTTTTCCTATACATTTCAGTGACTTTTCCTATTTTCAAGTGACTTTTCCTCATTTCATATTAAGTGACTTTTCCTATACATTTCAGATTAAGTGACTTTTCCTATACATATACTTTTTTCATTTCATAATAAGTGACTTTTCCTATACATTTCAGAATAAGTGACTTTTCCTATACATTTCAGAATAAGTGACTTTTCCTATACATTTCAGAATAAGTGACTTTTCTTATACATTTCAGAATAAGTGACTTTTCCTATACATTTCATATTAAGTGACTTTTCTTATACATTTCAGAATAAGTAACTTTTCCTATACATTTCATATTAAGTGACTTTTCCTATACATTTCATATTAAGTAACTTTTCCTATACATTTCATATTAAGTGACTTTTCCTATACATTTCAGAATAAGTGACTTTTCCTATACATTTCATTTTCCTAAGTGACTTTTCCTATACATTTCAGAATAAGTGACTTTTCCTATACATTTCATATTAAGTGACTTTTCCTATACATTTCATATTAAGTGACTTTTCCAATACATTTCAGATTAAGCTACAAGAAGAAAAAGAAGTTTATTTAAAGGAATTAGCAGCAATGAAAAAATATGAAATGGACCAATCAACATAAATGATGACAATGAGACACTGTACCCACGATAGACAAGTCACTGTGAATGATGACAATGAGACACTGTACCCACGATAGACAAGTCACTGTGAATGATGACAATGAGACACTGTACCCACGATAGACAAGTCACTGTGAATGATGACAGTGAAAGACTGTACCCACGATTGCCAAGTCATTGTGAATGATGACATTGAGACACTGTACCCACGATAGACAAGTCACTGTGAATGATGACAATGAGACACTGTACCCACGATAGCCAAGTCATTGTGAATGATGACAGTGAAAGACTGTACCCATGATAGCTCAGTCAGGATGAATGATGATAGTGACAGACTATGTCTACCATGGACCAGTCAGGGGGAATGATGACAGTGACAGACTATGTCTACCATGGACCAGTCAGGGTGAATGATGACAGTGAAAGACTGTACCCATGATAGCTTAGTCAGGGTGAATGATGAGAGTGTTTTCGGGGAGTGTTGATCCAATCTTTCACACATTTGACTGGTTGGTGTACATCTCCTGATCTGTGAAACATACAAATGAAAGCCTTTTATCTTATATGACAATATGAAATATAAATCTGTTTTGTGTAACAGTAAGTATAAAGGGACTACATTTGTTCTGTCTCTGTTGCTATATAAATGAAGTGCTCTATCTACTGAAGCCTCTGTGACCTTGTAAGAGATTCTACAGATTAATAACCTGACACCATTATTGTCCAATATTTCTTTATGTAATGGTTAGAAGTTGTCCTTTGTTGAAATGTTTGTTTTGACTGACAACTGATATTAAACTTTATGATGAGAATGTTAATACTATGATAGAGTGACTATATCAGACGTTCCTTGGGCGACTCCCACAATATACAATATTTAATTTCCACAATAAACCATCCGGACTACTTTAACCCAGTATTTGTATTTATAACTTGATGAAGACATTACTGATAATATATATCATTAGTTTTTACAGAAATATGATCCCATGTATGGTCATAATTTTGTATTACATATTTGGTAACGCCAAAAAAAACATGGTGTATGAAGAATGTAAGTGCTCCTGTTGTGAAAAAAATTGTGTATATAGAATTTGTGTACTTTAAGAAAATAAAATAAAAATAATTGAATGACAGTTGGTTTCAGTAGTGATTAATTGAAAAACAAAAATGAGTTTTAAGGTCATCTGACAACCGATAGGATCAAAATAACCTATAACCATTACATTTTGTTCATCGTCCACCATTTTTTAAACTCTCCATTCAAAAAGTTTCTTCTTCACAAAAGATAAGGGATATTTATGTTTTGGCAATGTATTGTCCATCTGTCCTCATTATTTATGTTGTTGTAATGTGTGTCCATCTGTCCTGCTTCTTTATGTTTTGGTTATGTGCTGTCCATCTGTCCTCATTATTTATGTTGTTGTAATGTGTTGTCCATCTGTCCTCCTTATTTATGTTTTGGTTATGTGCTGTCCATCTGTCCTCATTATTTATGTTGTTGTAATGTGTTGTCCATCTGTCCTGCTTATTTATGTTTTGGTTATGTGCTGTCCATCTGTCCTGCTTATTTATGTTTTGGTAATGTGTTGTCCATCTGTCCTCCTTATTTATGTTTTGGTAATGTGCTGTCCATCTGTCCTCATTATTTATGTTTTGTAATGTGTTGTCCATCTGTCCTCCTTATTTATGTTTTGGTTATGTGCTGTCTATCTGTCCTGCTTATCTATGTCTTGGTAATGTGCTGTCCATCTGTCCTCCTTATTTATGTTTTGGTAATGTGCTGTCTCTCTCTCTCTCCTGCTTATTTATGTTTTGGTAATGTGTTGTCCATCTGTCTTTCTTATTTATGTTTTGGTAATGTGTTGTCCATCTGTCCTCCTTATTTATGTTTTGGTAATGTGTTGTCCATCTGTCCTGCTTATTTATGTTTTGGTAATGTGTTGTCCATCTGTCCTGCTTATTTATGTTTTGGCAATGTGTTGTCCATCTGTCCTCATTATTTATGTTTTGGCAATGTGCTGTCCGTCTGTCCTCCTTATTTATGTTTTTTAATGTGCTGTCCATCTGTCCTCCTTATTTATGTTTTGGTTATGTGCTGTCCATCTGTCCTCCGTATTTATGTTTTGGTAATGTGTTGTCCATCTGTCCTGCTTATTTATGTTTTGGTAATGTGTTGTCCATCTGTCCTGCTTATTTATGTTTTGGTAATGTGTTGTCCATCTGTCCTGCTTATTTATGTTTTGGTAATGTGCTGTCCATTTGGACTCCATATTTATGTTTTAGTAATGTGTTGTCCATCTGTCCTGCTTACTGTCCATCTGTCCTGCTTATTTATGTTTTGGTAATGTGCTGTCCATCTGTCCTGCTTATTTATGTTTTGGTAATGTGCTGTCTATCTGTCCTGCTTATTTATGTTTTGGTAATGTGTTGTCCATCTGTCCTGCTTATTTATGTTTTGGTTATGTGCTGTCCATCTGTCCTGCTTATTTATGTTTTGGCAATGTGTTGTCCATCTGTCCTGCTTATTTATGTTTTGGTAATGTGTTGTCCATCTGTCCTGCTTATTTATGTTTTGATAATGTGTTGTCCATCTGTCCTGCTTATTTATGTTTTGGTAATGTGTTGTCCATCTGTCCTGCTTATTTGTTTTAGTAATGTGTTGTCCATCTGTCCTGCTTATTTATGTTTTGGTTATGTGCTGTGTATCTGTCCTGCTTGTTTATCACTGCACCTATTGTACAGTGTATTTCATGCGAGTGGATGCCAAAACTGGACAGCAATCCTAAACTCTAAGCAGACATGATATAAAGTGCTTTTGAAGGAAATGCTAATATCAAAAATTGATCTTTTTCTAATATAAACTTGAAATTGTTGCGTACTACAGTTATTACAATTACTGAGTACAAATTTTGATGGAAATATGGTTCGTCAAGACATTGTCCTTATGTAAGAAGGAGTCGTCTGTGGGGTTTCCGAACTGTCATACACGAAAGAAATGTATGAGAAAAGAAAACAATTGAGATGAGATACGGTGTACCAGAAAAAAGAATCCTAACCAAGCGGACAATAGGGGTGTTGTTTTACCTTTTTTAAATTCTAAACACTAAAACGATAAGGTGATATCACTAATTGAAAAGGTATGTAACACTATAAATAAGTGTTATCGCCTGTTCAATATACTCGGTATAATAAACTAGCATTGATAACCACACAAAACTGACACATGAAAAGGTGTTGGGGGAAAGTGACACGAATTCAAGGCCACCCCCATGAAATTCAGCCACAATTTCAGGGACCCTCCGTGGATCAGAAAGGTCGTGAAGCTAAAAGCTTAGACCCACATTTATCTGATCACTGAGTGTGTTCTGTGAAGGATATGACTTAAATCTTGTTATCTTTTATATAAACAACCATACCTAGTACCTCAATCAATACATTTAAAGATATTTTCATGTATGTACACACATGCTGACAGCCTAACAAAAACACCTGAAAACTGAATTATCATAGGAGGTAACAAATGACACATTAAGAATCACAAAAAACATATTTTACAATAGAAGATATTAACCAGCCAGCCCACAGTTTGTAATGCATGGTTATAATGTTTTTCTAAAGGAACTGGACAATCTGCCAGATGTTTCAAGTACTTTAAGTATTTCAGCCTAAATATGTCAATGAAAATTCAACAAGAACGAGACATTGGTAATCAGAATTTCAAGTGGTTTAAGTTTTTCAGTCAACAGATGTCAATGAAAATTCAACAAGAAAGAGGCATTGCTAATCAGAATTTCAAGTGGTTGAAGTTTTTCAGTCAACAGATGTCAATGAAAATTCAACAAAAATTATGCATTTGTAATCAGATTTGAATACTGAAGCACCAATGAAATCTTTGAGAAGATTAAGTCCATTATTATGATGAACTGGAAATCGTTGGCCACTATTACGTATTACAAAAGTGTAAATATTTCAGAAAACTGCTGACTGGTCAAGTATTTATTGGCCGGAAAAGCACGGGGTCCAAATGAAAACATGATTATAACTAATTTTGAGGGAATGGTTAGATCACCAGTCTATTAGACACCTAATTATAACTAATGTAGAGTGTGTGTTACGACGATATGCCTCACTGAAATTCTACTTACAGCTAAACTGAACACCAATAAAACGGCTTTCCCAACATTGAGACGATCTTTATAGGGATCTACATCATATAATTGAAGTCTTTTATGTTCGGGTGAAAATATGTCCAAACCAAATTAAGTATGGTTTGTTGGTTTGTCACAGGTTGTCCGTCTGCGTGACTCTTCCTATTTCTTGGCGTGGTGTCAGTATTCTGAGGAGGTGGCGATTTACTGAAGAGCAAACGTACGATACCTTCAAGAAGTACTTATTGTTGATATCAAACAAAAGCCTAGGAAGACGGTGGTTACGTTATACCACAAACCAGGAGACATGAGATAGAGAGAGGGGAAGGGACAGGGAGAGAGAAGTGGGGTAGGGAAAAGGAGAGAGAGAGGAAGTGAGAGAAAACTTTGCAAAATCTTCAGATACCACCGGAAGTTCATTGTGTTGCTAGGTAACAGTGTATTCCCATTAGAGCTGGGACAATGTTTTAATTAACTCGGTGATGTGATACTAAATTAATAAAGCATTGAGATAAAGATATCAAATAATCATACTATACTGAACATATAAATGTTTAATAATCATCTCAAATTATCCTAAACATTGTGATGTTACTACAGTATCAGCGAACGTCAGAGTGATTCTTAAGTGTCATTATCAAACTTATTAGCTGACTGGAGAACATTATATCAGAGAGAGATAAAAAGGACTTGGAAATTATAGTCAATTAGAAATTTAAAAAATCACAAACAACAGAAAATAAATATAGCAAACAGTATCCTTGGCGCAATGGCATGCTATAGATAAGGTGTCTACTTGAGGAAACAACAAATTCCTCGGTACTTTTGTAGAGATTTAATATCAAAGTGTTCCTTGGTGTCGATCGTTCATTATAAAAAATTGTATTGTATATGAGTTTCCGTCATATTTCCTTCACGTTTGTCAGATGTTACTACCATTGTTGTATTTTGTTAAACTTACAACTTGTGAATATTGATCGAACAACCACAGTCTTTGGTTCTCCGTACTGAAGCTTTACAAAGACGATTCTAATTATTTGTCCTGAAACCAGATCGACTTGTGGGCCGTAATGATTATGTAGTAAAGAAAGGTATATTGATCCAATCATTGTTTCGCATATTATTGTCATTCTTGTTTTTTCTGTATAGTATTGTTTGAGTAACTAGTTCTTGGAACAGACATACAATACACATACAACAACTCATTAAAATGATCTGTGTATTGTAAGGGTAGGTCCGTGTACAATCACTGGGATGTTTGTAACGTAAGGGTACATTAGCGTACAATCACTGGAATGTTTGTAACGTAAGAATAGATCAGTGTACAATCACTGGGGTGTTTGTAACGTAAGGGTAGGTCCGTGTACAATCACTGGGATGTTTGTAACGTAAGGGTAGATCCGTATACAGTTACTGGGATGTTTGTAACGTAAGGGTAGGTCCGTGTACAATTACTGGGATGTTTGTAACGGAAGAATAGATCAGTGTGCAATTACTGGGATGTTTGTAACGTCAGAATAGATCAGTGTACAATCACTGGGGTGTTTGTAACTTAAGAATAGATCAGTGTACAATCACTGGGGTGTTTGTAACGTAAGGGTAGGTCAGTGTACAATTACTGGGATGTTTGTAACGTAAGGGTAGGTCCGTGTACAATCACTGGGATGTTTGTAACGTAAGGATAGGTCCGTGTATCAATTTACTGGGATGTTTGTAACGTAAGGGTAGGTCCGTGTACAATCACTGGGATGTTTGTAACGTAAGGGTAGGTCCGTGTACAATTACTGGGATGTTTGTAACGTAAGGGTAGGTCCGTGTACAATCACTGGAATGTTTGTAACGTAAGAGTAGGTCAGTGTAAAATTACTAGGATGTTTGTAACGTAAGGGTAGGCCCGTGTACAATCACTGGGATGTTTGTAA